CGGCTTACCTTAGACCCAAAAAGTCGACGGTGTGTGTCAGGCACAGGAGGCTGATCACCTACTTGCCTACTAGATTGACCAATGATCATGGAACAGATTCAAAAATCTGAGACCCAAACCTAAAAAGGTAGCGCCTCTGATTTGTTTTTAATTCATTTTATAAGGTATTTTTTGTGTCATACGTAGATACTTTCGGTCTCAATATACAGACATTTGATTCAATGTCATTGCTACGGCCTTGTAAAAGAGGACACTACTATTATTCTAACTATATGAAACTGTATCTTAGCGTATTCAATGCCTGATATATAAGTATCTATATAAAAGGTCATACTGCGACGTAAAGAGGTATTACAACACGGGCGGCCGCTTACGTTCAGGCGGCTCAACACAAAGCGGGTAATATCTTCATAAATCGATATTGCCTTCGCTAATAAAGCGATATTAATTATCTAGTATTCAAATCTGAGATGCTGCGCATTCGTGCTGCGCTCGTGACCGCCGCCCGCACCGGTCGTTGACCGCACACGACCATGATTCGATCACGTCGTGTGCCCGCCTTGTGTTTACTACCGGTACTCCGGACTCATCTTTGGTTACCAGTGGTTGTTGGTATCTATAAGCCAAAAGGCAAGTTGCCTTAGAACTGAGTCCCTAGTAGAATGCAAAAGTAACTTACGGATTTGATACTTATTAGTAGTTGCTCTCCTACTCTCTACTCCAGGCTCTGCCACTCAGAAAGCCACCTTGTACACCTTTGTATAGTTTAGTTATAGTTCTGATAAAATTTGAAGCTAGTTTTGAGAACAATGAACCAGACGTGACGATATTTAAAACTATAGTCAAGAACTCCCAAATAAAATCGTTCCTTAAAGAATAATCTAACAAAGAACTCAGTTCTCTAGCCCTTAAGCCCAGAAGCGGTAACTAACATCTCAAAAAGGACACACATAACATAATGTATGAAAATAATTTATGAACTGCATTAATTAACAGATGTTCTTAATTGTCCGTTGAGTGAACTGACAAAAGTTCCCAGTTCCTATACTGTAAGAAATAGTTTTGTCTTTGATTTACATAACCTTTACACATTTAAAGAAAAAACTGTTTAACCGGTAAAAAAATTAAACGTAATTTATAAATAGTTGTAAATTTTCTTAAGTTCAATCGGTTAAACAGTTTTTTTTTAAACCTCCAAACAGAAAATAGTTTTTAAGTAAATATTTTAATCTATTACTGTTTAATGTTGTGTTACTTTTGAAGTTAAACTTATTCAGGCGCATGAGGGTAAATTTTTACGGAAACGTCACGAAGATGTGCAGCGTTTTTGTCGAAGAAAAGGGAGAGAGCGGTTGAGACCGATTGAGAGAGAGTGAGAAGGGCGAATTACATTATAGAAATTCTATTTTTAAAATTAAAATTTCGTAAATCGAATTTATGAAATATTACTATTTTATATTTTATGCGAAATAATTTATTGAAATCTCAAATGACGAATTGTAAATAAAAATGCCACGTGTTTTTATTATCGAAGTAATAAATTTAAAAAAAAATATATCATTTGTATTAATTTTCGACACTAAATATTTCAATGACAATTAAATTCCTAATATATTATATTCCTTTTTCCCTCTCTCGGAAGTCTAAAGTTTTAGATTTGTATAAATATGAACAAGATTTTTCTATGTGTATGTAATGTATGTATGTAATGATAACAATCAGCTACTTTTAAAGCTGATTTTGTAAATTATAATAATCAATAAATAAATATAAGGTAACCAAGATTGGGTTGTTTCCCCATTCTACCAGCCTTAAACCTATACTGATTCCAGCATTGTTTTACCATTTTACTCACTGCCTCCAGCAAGTTGTTAGTTCAGTAATCGATTGTGAAAATGCCTCCATTGTACTGTTGAAATATAAAATTACTTGTCATACAGCAGATATCATCTCCCGATACCACAATGAGTCGTGGGCTATTCAGATTCCTTTGTTTGCATCTAATAACAAGATCACCGATATCGCTCGATTATATTTACCTTACAATAAGCAGCTCTCACTGCGTCGCTTATTAACCCAATTTAAACTTACGAAATTGGATATTGGTGATAAGTTTTTCAACAATCAAATGAAATGAAATCAAAATCATTTACTTATTTAAGTAACATAATGTACACTTATGAACGTCAAAAAGAAATACATATTAAATGCTTAGGATTTTACATTTACTGCCAGTTCCCAAATCAAGGGCGTAGAACGGAAGAGAAGAACTGGCAATGAACTCTCCGCCACTCTTTTCAATCGCCAAGATTTTTGTTTTACACAATGTTTGTAAGTAATAATAATAAAAAAATAAATTAAAAACAAAGATTTGTCCTCTATCAGCAGGAGGCATGGTTTTTTATTTTATTGTTGCATTGTACAAAAGAGTACAGTAGTAAAATAAATTCTCTTAATAATTCTCTTGTAGCCTATTTTTCTGTAGGTATTATTCTTGCATCTGTTTCATTGATTTAGCCTCGGTGCCTGACGCATGTCGTAATTTAATGTGCATTTTATTACGCATATTCAACAGCACGTTTGGGATTGAGAACCTTACACTTAAATATAAGGGGCTTCTTCTTCTTTTATTACTTTTCCATAACTGGAGGACTGACCAAGTCACGTTAAGCGTCTCGTCCTATGCCAGATACAACTCTTCCGCAATCGCAATACCCATCCACTCCCTAATGTTACGAGGTTATGATTTTCTACTCCTACGACCACGCCGTTTACCGAGGATTTGGCGGGCTTAGGAACTATTACTCATTGAAAACATAATGCCTACGTATAGAATGCTCAATATTTGGGTTACGAGATATCACTCAACGGTCAACACACTGCTTTTCTTGCATTTAAAATTATTTTTTTATAACAGGGGGCAAACAGACAGGGAGCTTCTCTGATTTTAACTGATACCGCCCATAGACACATTGATTACGTTGTCGGAATTTTAAGAATTGCAGAATCAGTGGGCAGTTGGTTCCACATAGTGGTGGTTATTCTATACCTACATTGTTTGTAGTAAAACTCCTAAGTAAAGCTTTGCTCAATATTATTTGTTTGAATGAACGGTCTGCAATGGTTTGCACTATACGGGCGCTTGCAAATGTCGCTGATTAAATCATAATAATCTCATAGCGCGTAGCACTATCACCCTTACGCCCTGGCTTTAAGGCGGATATTTGCCTGAGGGCTTATTTAAATGAGCTGTAATTAGCGGATAACATCGACCAGAGTAATTGCAATATTGTTGTCACTGGAAGGTGCTTACGTCGCATTGCGTACATTTAATATTTTTAGTGTGGTGTCGGAGTCTAGCGGCGGAACTAACGACTCTTCATAAGTTTATTTAAACAACTTACATGTCGTTGAATTAATGATAGTGTTATGTCTCGTCGGACGATGGCTATTGCCCAGCGTTGCGTGAACAGAGTCGTGATTTTGAAAGTCATAGTTTTAGTTCTCTTTTTGATAATCTTTTTCAACTCTGCAGTGTGAAGCAGTGTCGCTACTAGGGTTGGAAGCAACGTTAAACTTCGGACAGTCCGCGCAAATAATATATATGAACGGACCACCTCATATATTGTCCGCGCCTTTTTAAAATAAGACCCGAAAATCGTGTACCTTAAAAAATATTTTTTGCCAATCTGGGATGTTGATTGCTTAACTCCATAAATTTAAAATAATATTATGTAGAAAAACTTTTATTTTTTCTCTTTGTTTGCTGTAATGTTTTCGTTTCGTTTTTTGTATTTTTTTAAAAGGAATTTAATATTTGTACTTTGGTGTAGCCCTTCAGACACCAAGGTTAGTGTTTTTTTTGGTGTGTTTCTGTACTCTTGTTTTATTTATATTATAAGAAAATTCATTGAAGTATTCGATAGATACCTTATTGGTGTGAATGTTTTCTGTATAGGCAAGTAGCTATTCTACGTTTAAAAATATTGCTAGATACGTATAGTATTGATGACAAAAATTCATATAATAAAATTAATTTTAACGGTGAGTAACTAATAGCGGTTCGTACTTCAATAATCACCGTTACGTATCCGGGAAACGATGTGATATTTAATATGATTCCTTTGTTCTCTATACTCTATGCATACTCACGTCATAAACGTCAATGTGTTGATGAGCTTGTCTGTATACGTGTAGTAAAAAAATCTGTATACGTTAGTATTATCTTAAATTACATTCTAAAAAAATTAAATTGTCATTGTCTTTATATAGAAGTAATAACGTTATAAAATGCGTTAATGTAAAGTTATGTTTGTGCTTCGGAGTGGTCACTGGGCACTCGGCGTTAACAAGTTTGGGGCGCACTTCAATCTCAGATGGGAATCGAATTTGCGCCCTCCGCGGCCCACTACACGTCTAGTGTTGTGAAGTGGCCTTTGAAATCTTTCACGCGTTAAAACGGAGGTAATCTCCTCGTCGGCCGTCCCTCCGCTTTGTTTACCTAATCATTTTATTGCTCCCTCCCGCCCCCTCCCGAACTCGTTCCCCGCGGCGCTCCCCTCGCTGCACGAATTTATTGGAAACATGTAATATCAGCCGCGACAGATGTCTGCAACCCTTGCCGCGACACAGCAACAGCCTCCGCCACTACACGATATTACATTTTATTGCAAAAAAATGAAATCCTGAGAAAATTTAGATCGCAAGCTGCGAGTGTTATGTTCTTTACCCTTAAAAAAGTGTGTCAGGGGTAGCGACGGGGCCCGTGGGGAGGGGACGGGGGGCGACAGGTCCCGCGCGTCTCCGCAGAAATCCGTTTTTTAGCACAAAACCGAAGAAACGGAACAATGCGTGACCCACTTCCCCCGGCGCCGTGGGAACGAATAACGACCGCGTCTCCGAAATCCTCGCGAATTGCGCAATAAAAAATGCATTACCCCATATTTTTAAGAGAAACGTAAAAAGCCGAGTGCATTGTTCAAAGCATATTGAAATTTAAAATGTTAGAAGGGTGAGATTTATGTCTAAAATAACGGTTTTAGCAAAAAATTTGTGGAATCAGCTGCGGATTGCAGTAAAATTGTCGTTAACAAATCGAGCTAGGCGCGACCCGCGGTATTGCTTGCGTCATACTGACACACTCGTCCCTTCACGGTAGCATCATCATTAATGATTATACATTCATTTATCTTCTATTTCTATTTGTTCATAAGTCTTGCACATTAAAATGTACCATAAATAAGTTATGTTATTATTTATAAATTGTTGATCAATAAAATTGTACAATTATGATTGTTAATTAACAGGGAAATAAGAATTAATCAGTGAATTGAAGGTAATATGTTTTGAGCGAGTTCCCTGCGTAAGACATATTTATCACTTAACATATCACTTATATTTTAAATAGACACTAAACGTTAATCAGAGCGTAGACCTTAAAATCATAGAGAAGTGATTCAAATATAGCAAACGATGCAAAAGTATTTTGGCATGGAAATATAGCATTACACAATATATAATTCCATAAATATAGAATTAAAAGATTCCGCTGGCTGTCAAAACAATTACTCTTTTACCAGGAATAAATGCATTTCTGCAATAATATAACCTCGGAGTTTACATTTAATATGTATATTTGCCGGTGCTGTAAAATCAAATAAAAACTCTTATAACATAAAGGCAATGCACCAAACTATATATATTTTCATTTATGATAAATACATAGTTATAAATAAAGATTTATAGTAGTGTGGAAAAATAAACTATATAATATTTCTGTAACTAATTTAAATTTATAAAATTAGTTCTAACCCGGTCAAACATTTATTGAAGCTCTATCGAGGTTGGAAGTTAAGTAAACATTTTTCTTACGCTCACATTTGCGGTTAGCGCATGGCTTGAAGTTAAACTTTTATCGGCGTTGAGAATAGAAACGTCTTATCGACCTATGAGAGACAATTTGCAGCAAATCGTCACTTTTTCAAATAGAAAATATATAATTACATTCAAATTTATTATAAATAAAATTTGATTTATGTCAATGTGAAGCTTTTAAACTTTATCTAATACATTTCTGTAAAATTTAAATTTTTGAAAATAAAATTAAGAATTTCACTCTTACGTGTGTACACCTAGTACACGCACAATTTATTTATTTACACTTCGTTACCATAATATACACAATCATACATATAAAAATAAAAAAAAAACAAAAAAGCAGTTTACATAATTTATTAAGCAACGGGCAGCATTATCGCTAACAAACGATTTCTTCCAGGCAACCCTAAAAACATTGGTGAGATTGCCAGGAAAAGTTCGCTTTTAATTAGTATTACTTATACAGAGTATTTTTGTTATTGTCTATCAATAAATAAATACAAAAGTAATTTGATGTCTCAGCTTCGTTAGATTAGGGTTTAGATCAGTCAGTTGTATATGTACTTTGTAGTCTGAGAGGTTCGGAGGAGTTCTCCGAGGTGAGGTATGGAGGACCGATGAAGGCGACGCGAGGCGGAGTATGCAAAGCAGGCGAGACTCCGCCCCTCCCGCCGCGCCTCGCCCCGCCTGCCGCACCCGACAATCCTAAAAAACGGCTGCCTCTCGCGAAGGGTAAAACTTTTGTCTACAACCCTTGCACGTGCGCTAACACACACACATAACAATATATGCGTCTCCAATTGCTATTGTCAATTTTTTAACTGCGATTTACATGATATTTTTATTTACTAATCACTGAAGCGACTGGGTTTTTGCGCGGAACTCGTAAGACTTGAAAATCTTTTACTATGACCACTTTTCTGTTAAGTGTTTTTAAAACCTGTATCACGTCCGGGCACGTGAATCGTGACAAGATTACATTGTTTAAATATACTTGTATGTGTTATAATTTATATTCACGATACCTCGATGTTAACGCACGCGGAATTATTCCGATTGCAGATGGAATCTAAATAACTGAAAAACTAATGAAAACTGATTAATATGTTTGAATATTCAATTAGACATAAGCATATCAAGTTGAATAATAGATGATCGGCGACAAAAACAATAATCGTGTAAGGGGGGGCGTAAGGAACAGTCGAGCGACAAGACGTGCTGCCGTCGCGGGCATAGCATTACTGTTATTTCACCTTATTAGATTATGGCTGATGCGTTTTTAATGTCGACATTAAACTAGCGTCAACCTATACTCACAATTTGCTTGAATCACTTAATTTGTATGTCTTTGGGAAACAATTTGTGTTAAGTACTTCACACGTAATCATTTGGTGGTGAATCGAAATGACTGTAATAGTGTGTGTATAATAAACATAAAAAATAGATTCTTCAAGAAAGTAATAATTAATAATGTCTCATTCTTATTTTGAAAGGGTTTAATATTTTTTGTATGTACAAAGGTAAGAAATTTCTGATTTCATCACTGATTAAAATATAGGGTCATCGGTTATTCATTGCATATGGAAAATTTATGAAGTATGATTGCTCACGCGGCACTTATATTATCTTCCCATTCTTATACTCTTACTTCATAAATAAATCAGTACATTTACACAGTTTTAACAACAGCACTGTTTTGTCTTGTTATTCATAGCGTAAATACAGTTTATTGGAAAGATTCAAGAGTAAAAACAATTAAGTAATACTAAAGTACTAATTAAATATAGTTTTCCTCGCAGTTTTCATGAATAAGGATACTGGTAATATAGAGTAAAGTAAGAATTGAAGGTGGTTATAAATCTGTCGTTAATTCGCAAGCTGTGCGGGTTACGGCTGTCGGGTTGCGCCCGCGCGTGCCGCGCACCTGTCGCCCCCTCCCCCCCACACCCGCAAATTCCATTTCACCAACTCGTGCGTCACTCTCACTCAACGATCAAAGGGTTGTACGCACTTTCGATGGTCTGTTATTATCTGGTTACTGCATCACCTTCGTTTAGGAACATTGTGTAGTTATAATAAGTAAATTCGATTTTCATACCATTCCATTTCATATTTCAATAAAAAAATATTTCTTGTATACTATTGAAAACATGCATTTTTTCCATCTGATGTGTAGTATATTTTAATTTAACTTTAGAAATTTTTTTTGACACATGGCACATGACACAATCATTATTCAGGTACCAATTGCGTGCTCAGAATAACCGAGATTGTGGTTTTTAATATTGGATTAATACATGATAAATCTTACGGGAAGTGAGGAGAATTAAACGCGAATTGTCTTTATTTGTATTCTACTGAGTTGAAGATTTCAAAGGCATAGTAAGGCAAATTAGATGATTCTGATATAAAAATTTGATTTGATCCAAAACTCGCAAAATTTACTCACACATTGAATATGACAAAAAATTACCACTATGGTGTGATTGAACCAAGCCAAGCACACACTTCATTATATTAATGTCGTGATAAAAACAGTAAATATGTATTAATCTGTGGTTGATACTACAGCTGATTAATACTTATTTACTGTTTATTTGTTTCTACTATTTTTATTTACAAAAATGTATTTAGAGCTACAACTCTTTAAATGTCTTGACCACAGAGTTCATCTTTTGTTTTTTTGAAATTGTGATTTAAATAGTTTCTTAATTGTGAGATTTTTTGTATGAACTCGTACGATGACGTTTTGTTGAGCTTCAGGAGGTAATGACCCCATTTATGTAAATGCATTACTATTCTTTATCTTTCAACCTACAGTGTATTCGGGAATACCATTATCACCCTTATACAAAAACTTGAAAATAAAAGGCTCTAGTACACATTTAAATTTGCTAACAGTAGTTGCAGTGCGCCCTATTAGAAAAAATGATGAGATATTTTTTACACGCCCAAATTAATTTTAACTAATGAAGCATTTACTGTCAGAAACACAATACAAATTTAAATAGTTTAAACATTTTATAATGTGGTAACAAATATGTTATGGTAATCACTCTTACATACTATTACTATACATTTATTTTGAGACTTCCTTAGTCCCACATTTGTTTTTGTAGTGCATTATGAAGTGAAATCCTAATATGCCGCGTTTGAAAACTTAACGATTTCTTCACGATACTTGCTAGCACCGTACGAGCAAGGTTCTTTATATAGATGTCGTATATATAACTACCGCTGATACATATTTCTTTACAAAAGCGCCAAGAACATTAGGGAATGTGTGTCAGTTCCATACGATCAAAGATGCCCCTTTGAGTGGACACCGCGCAAACCTTTCTTATTGAATCCGTTCAGCTGGAAAATCAAAACGTCCAATACGTGAGGCACTTCCGGCTTAAAATGCCACTCAAGTTGAGTGGGTTTACAAGAATTTGATTAGAGGAGGACGGAGGGCGAGTAAACAGTGGGCCGTTGTGCCCGGGGCGCCACACTGATGTTGGAGCAGTCCGCGAAGTTGTTGACACACCACATTCATAATGAGAGTGACCCTTGTCTGTGGAAAAGTTTGAGATTGGTACAAAACTATTTGAAATGGTTTCTGTAGAAAGATAATCTAGTTGTATGCACGCGAGTATTAATCAAAGAGTGTATTTTTAGAATTTACCTTAAATACATATAATGTTTATATGCAGAATGTTTCAAATTTATTATTACAATCGTTATAGAATAATTGGCAAGTTGAATTAAAATGAATGCTTTTAGAACAGCCAAATGCTTCTTTAATTTTAGTTTATTTTAATAAACATTATCGTACTGTACTTTAATTATACTATGCGTATAAAAACTAAAATTAACTATAACAAGAGAAAATGAGGAAATGAAAATACAAGTAAAATTTACCCCACAATTTAATTAAAATTTTATTTACATAGAACAATAATGAAATATGTAATGTCTCAAATATCCTAATACATGATAAAGTTAATTCATTTCTAACCCTATCTGTGAACTGATTAACTTTATAGCCGCTATACGATAAATCAGTATAACTTTCAAAATACGGGTCATTTAATGATAATTTAGGTGCGAGTAATATTAACAGTGAAAGAGTATCTCGACGCCACGTGCGGGCAACTCGGGATCGTTCATCATCGCTTAAATTAAAATCGTCACGCGTGATGCAACAAATATCGCGAACAATAAATCACTAACCCTTTACCAACGGACCAATCACGACCCTTGTTATTTACATAAATTTACATAGCTTACCTGAAGGGTGAGTTTTAAATAGATTAGGGTTCATTTACATATGTGCTACGGGCTACGAATTGAGCTACGCGGCTACGTATTAGTGTTTTAGATTTCAACGTTACGCATATATTGTGCATATTACAGAACACTAATTTCTATTATTAACGTATGTAAATATTATACATTATTACGATTTCATTCAGGTTTGGTTCTACGCTTTGCTATAACGCATCCGATAACACACGCAAAATCCTTATTTATGCCAGACAAATAAGTTTTTTGTAACGGATTGCCTATAGGTTTTTCTGTCTGAGTTAGGAATACTATTTTAATGTCTGCATGCAACTATTGTCATCAACCTAAAAAATAGTAATTTACAAAATATTATTTTTATGTAGTTACGGCAACTGTAACTCTTATTAATTCGTTTTTCTTTTAATAAAAAAATGTTTTTCGTAATATCTGGTCTGGTTGAGTTATTATTCGAAATAATGTTACTTAAAAAAATTGCAATCACACAATAGGAACATTAAAGGCTGTTATAAGATATAAAACTTCGCGACAAAGGTTTATTTCACATTAGAGAGCGCTGCAGCTGCATCGGCTATTGATTAGCTCCCCCTCTCCACCCGCGTCTACCCCTTACCCCCCTGTATCCCCCGAACACCCCCACTGCTAATGAGGTGCAGACAGGTCATACAAAAGACAATATGAGACTTTCTGTAATAGATGGCTATTTGTGTGTACTTTAGGACTTTGAAATATATAAAGAAATAATTAATAATTGTAAAACATTGGGATGAAGTTTTATTGCTGTATTTTATGGGTCGCGAGGGTTTAATCAAAATATATATTTAAATAAGAAACAAATTAAAAACATAATTACGCGATCTTCTTCGATTTAAACGGTCTCTGGTTGAAATCGGGCCAAAATCTAGCAAATTCGAGTAAATTCTGGTCGAGTCAGAATTCATTTTCTTTTCTTTTTATTATTGCTTATTAAGAATAAGTTATTATATTTATATTATAAATAAACTTAAACTACAGAAAACACCAAAAAAAACTACTATGAGGTTCCTGAACACCACAGTACAAATTTTAAATTCCTTATAAACTGAATAAAAACATTACATCAAACAGAAAAATAAAAATAAACCTCTTTTATACCTTATTTAATATGCCATTGTGATGAAGCATTTTTATGGCAGCTCTAAAAGCATATATGTACATATATAGAAACAATATAGTAAATATGCATTTAAAATATAATATGCACCGTGACAGGTGGAATTGTGCAACATATGTAATTAGTTTTCGTATAATGGCTAGTTAGATCGTTGTTTAATTGTTATTATATGTTCACACCTTATTTGCTATACCTATGCTAATATATAGCAATATAAATTTACAACCGTACATCATTATTAATTATCTCTAATGATCGATTAAATTATATATTTTTTTATTATCTTATTCACTTGTATGATATTTAATGCCTGATTAGTTAACAGCTGCTTTCAGTTGGACCGTTTATTGCATCCAATTGGATCTATCGTGTAATACCTTAAGTAACCATTAACTCTTAATTAACAATTCCGCTGTTACAAGGCAATGCGCATACAACAGCATAATACAATTTTAGCATCCTATAAAAGAAACGCTTATGAAAATTGTATTTATTATTATAAAACATAACTGTGTACATACATTGAATTGCGAAATACGAGTAAGATAATATTGACATTGTAACAGACGCGAAAAGAGTAATAATAATAGCCGAATGTAAACTTGAACTTTAAAGCGATTTAAGGGGTGAATTTTGAACGGGGCACGGAGCTCGAGGGAAGGAGGGGCATGTACTAGTTAACGGGATTAGTGGCACGCGTAACCCTTCATTCAGATACAATTGAAAATGCAAATACTTTAATCCAGTATGGCTGCCATTTCCCCCGATCTGAATACCAATCGATAACTCGCAATTCATTACTGCATTCGATAAGGCGCCCTCCGCACGCTGATTGCAACCAAAGATATGCTTAGGGCGGGCGGGCACAATGCGAGTACTCATTCTGTAAAGAGTATATTAGGAACAAAGCTAATATATTTTACTTTACTTACTGCCAAGAAAGTGTTTGCACATAGATTTATTTATTACTTAAGATTTCTGTTTTTGTATGGTCCAACGTTGGAGCTTTTTGCTTGCTGTTTCTTTAAATTAACATTGAGTGCAGCAATCAAAATTCAAGAACAAAAGAGTGAATAGTATTATAATGTATCCAAGTAGATAATTTTGATTGTATGACAAACTCTTCATGTTGTCAGTGGACTTTAAAGCGCGCTAAAAAGCTTTTAAATAAAAACTATGAATATTTTTATTTATTAATTAATACTTCGTTGCATATAGAAATATTATAGAATTGACATAATTAAATGAAAAGAAGGGCAACTGGCGGCCTTATCGCTTTCAAGCGATCTCTTCCAGGCAACCACTTGATTAATATGTTGACCGTAATTATATGACACTCGTGTCAAAGTATTTTTTATTAAATTAAATTATTAGGCATAATATCTAAATAAGTGTACTTTTTGGCTTATTCTGTCAAATCCTGTTTCATTAAAGAATTTTTAGATACGAAACATTCTGTTCCAATCATGATGAAACAGATGAAACATTCTTTAATTAATACAGTGTAATAAGACTGGTTTATTTTATATGAACAACAGGATAAATATACATATTTCACACCTTTGCACTGTCATAATTTGGTCTTTATACTGTAACAAAGTAATTACACGCAGAAGAAGTCATGTTTTGCTAATAATATTTGTGTTAATATGTTATGTTGATAACATTAACCCTTTCCCTTAGAGATGTAAAGTATAGTCGTATATCAAGGGTCAAGGTGATAGCCCTCCGGGGAGAGTGGGGTGAATGTTAAAACACTTGTTAGCGACACTTATTGCTCCCGTAAAACATGAATTCGCGAGAGACATTTCTCCCCTCAGCCCGCCCGCCCAACTGACCAACTGACTATGATTTATGACCAACATGTTATGAGTTTATGAATATAAATCATTTATAACCTTTACTAGAAATAAGTCTTCAAACTATCGTTCTTATAAATTTATTCTGTAACACAAGTACCTTAGAGATACTAAAGTAGAAACACAAATTATAGAAAAATATTAATAAGTTTTGGCAGTCGTATTTTAGAATTAACCTGAAAAAATTCAATAAAAATGTAGAAATTTAATAAAAATTGCCTAAAACAATATTAAGATGGCTATGTGCTTCACTGACCGCAATCAAACAATCATTTAAATAACCCAAGTTAAACAAAGGGAACCCGGAAACATCAAAAGAGTTTGAATGTTTTATCCCGGAATTGTGGGCACAAGGAGCACATTTCTTATTCAAAGTAGCAATATATGTGCGCCTAAACAAACACGCGGCTGCAACTCAAAAGCCTCGAATCGGGACACATCTCCATCACAAAGTGCTACTTAGACTTTCAGTACCCATTGCCCACTTCACGGGAATCGCCGATCGAACTTTCATGTTCTTATTTTAAAATTCAAAACGTTCCTTATACTAACACTCTACTGCAATACTGTTCTATCTATATTTATTTAGGCGTTATTCCTTTGGTAACGTAATCACATGATTGCTACTGGAAGTTCTTTAAATTACAAAAATATAAACTTGCAGTGGCTCTTTAGAAATTCAGAAACAATTAATTCACGACTTTTCGGATAAATTAACCATATGAAACTAAAATAATCTCAATACATAATACAAATGAAACAAAACAACTCCAGACATACACATAGTAATGTTCTGTCCAAATTAAATGATAAATATTGATGCGTAATTATTACGTCTCATTGTAAGATAATGAGTTCGAAGCCGATGAAGCCTGCTGTGCTCGTTCCTGAGCTGAAGTTTAACCGATTTTTAACGTTTTTTTAATCGAACACGATATCGGAATTCGCGCATCGCGTCGGTTAGCCGAACCCGTCGTTCCCCTTTCATAAAAAAAATTAAACAGCTTTTAAACGTGCATCGCCGGGCGAAAGCATTAAAAAAATCCATCTCAGGTAATCGAAATAATGGCGAGACGCGCGAAAAAAATTCACTAAGGGGCGGAAAAAGAAACGGATTCGTACAAAAAAGTTTAATTTTTAATCGTGATGCGGGAATCGCGGCCCCGGCGCCAGTCGACCGCCGACCTTCGATCAGTGCGCACCCGCGATCTTGTGCGCTGTTACGTTCATATTCTTAACTGAGAGACTTTCAACCCTGTGCTTTTGCCGTAAACGACTTGTGCTATCACGCTCGCACGATGGTGCTTACGGCCTGCGTGCGCGCTTCTTCGTCGCCATTCTGCGCGTACCGTAAGTTTAATTTTTAAGACTTTAAAGTATTATACAGAAGGATATTTACATATTACATTTTATTAAATTGAAGTAATTTTTATAATATACATGTTCAGACTTTGAGATGTTTAGGGTTTAGCTTTTCTACTTTGAAGCATTTTTATTATTTTCAAAGTTTAGCAACTATATTTGATGCTGGTTTCAGATATTAAACAATAATATTTTAGTTTAGAAAACTTTTGGAATTCTTTAGAAGTAGCAAGTTTAGTATTAAAATAATACATAGTTAAGAGATACAAACAAAAATTATATGCACAAGATAAATTTGCTTAAACATTTAGCATACAATCAAGAACAACGCAACACAAGTTTTTCTTAGCGCGTTATAAGGACCTGTCTAATCTATATTAATAAGAAAATTATTAGGATTACATGTGTAATTCATTCAACCCTTTAGTACTGGCCCACTTGTCAAATACTTGTTGCTTATTTAGTTTAACTTTGAATAATTGAATAATCTTTTTACCCTATATAATGCATGCATGTTCTTTGGTGCGGTATTCACTAGGTTATTTCTGTCCTTGTTCCTGGTATTTGTTTTAAATAAATGATCCAAATGATGATTGTTAACGCATGCATCTTGTCTTTATGAATTGTTCTTTTGTTTTTCATGACGGGCTCCAATTACAAAAGTATATTACTAGACGTTCCGAACATTCATTTGTTTATATATTAAAAAGAAATATAGAGATTAGAGAGATACATCCTATAAAAAAATCTGTTATATAGTCTTTGAGTTTAATCGTTAATAACATATACAATTTTACTCTTAACATCAGACACTATGTTTTGATTTTGCCCTTGCTCTTGTACTTTTCCATAACAAATAATTAGCTTAATTAATATATTTAAGATTCTCAACTCTGTTATACGGTGGGCTTTTTTGCATTTTTTTTCAGATATAAACTTTAAGAATATTTAACTTATTAGCTAGTTATCCTCTCAAAGAGTCTCATAAATCATACGAATTATAAATTAATATAACACGAATAATTACCATTATATGTTAAATTACAATTGTTACGCCTTCTATATACCTAATTAAAAGTTATTCTACATATTTGACTTATTAAAATTTACTCGCACACATGTACAAGACATATATGGAAAATCGAGTATTTTAGTATACACCGACCTAATTATAAAACGAAATAAAGTTAGTAGCTTCTTTTTAAAGATCATTACCAACGTAACAATGTTATATTCATACAAAAAAAGGGTACCTTTTTAACATGCACCGTACTACGTCGTTTTATAGAAAAGTCGTCGTATATAAGCCAAGTTACATAATATCTCTTAATGAATACTTTATTAAGAGATATTTTATAATCCATGTTAAAGAAGAGGTAAAAGTAAGCGTTGGTAAGCTTTTATCAAGAAAAAATAAATAAATAAAAAGAAGCCTTTATAATCATTGTATCGATAAACTTACAAAATATGAAGACAGCAAAAGTATAATCCCGATACAAAATGCATCTATTGTAATTTAAGAATGTTTCTTTAACATCTTTTTTAAATATTAGATTTAGCACAAAAAGCAAGCCTTTAACGTAGCGAATTCGATCCAGTAAAAAACTGATGACGATTCAATAAAAGAGTACAATGCGTGTTTTTTACATAAATATAGTTTTTGCGGATCTGTCAGTCTATTTAATCCTACACATCCGCGCATACGCAACTCTTCGATTATCTACCTGCCTTACTGTGATATCTTTTTATAAGGATATGTATAGAATACGAATGTCTGCACGCTATTTTTGGATTATTCGCATGTAAAGGATAGGAGAAGTTAATCCTACAATTAGTAATACTTTTTAACGTCTTGTGTTATTTAGTGGATTTAATCCATATCCAAGTTCATCATTAATATATAAAATATTTAGTACAAATGATACCGGCCTCTTAGCTTCCAGGGGATGAGTAAACTTGAGAGTCGAAGTTTAGCGCGAAATAAAAAAAGTAAAAATAAAATATTTTTACATATTTTTCCTATAAGTAAAAATAATTATACAATTTTAAACAAACGGGAGGTCATACTTAGCCCTTACTTTAGGCTCTTTTTTCTTATCTACAATGTTTAAATACAACAGTCTTTAAAATTTTCTAAACCTACATAGTAATAATAATAGTTAAAAACTAATAAATAGAAAATTAAAACAAATTGGAAAAGTTTAGTCTGTGGCAGCATTTCCTCGCTTATGGCGATACTTGAGCGAAGAAAGCACCAACTCTAGGGTCACCGGTACTATCTACCAGGCACCAACTTAAATCTTTAATTAAACTAAACTAAACTTTCTTTATTTTAAAATTCTTCGAGTTACTATAAAATTGTCTATAGTCTGTTATTATTAATATTCTGTAAACGTGTTTTTATATTAAGGTTTATTTTCGCTTTAACATCATGGTTATTTGTTATACTAATCTATTATTTACTTAATAATAATTTAATATCTTTGTCCAAATCAAATTTTCACTTTGGTACGTTTTAATGATACTAGCAGAGAGTGGCACAGTGCAGACAGGAATGGCGGGATTTGGAGGATGTCTTTGCCAAAGAAAGGGCACACAGATACCTAAAAAGAATGAGATAGAAATATTAATGTGTGGGTAAAAGTATCTCAAGTAAAAGGCTATTTTTATTATTAATTTTAATCAGACATTTTTATCAAGTCTCCAACAATAAAAGATATAATGAAATTAAGAAATAAGAACTTTGGTGTGTTATTACCGAATAAATATTCTTTCTAATTCAAATTAGGAATAAAAAATCGATGTTATAATGTAATCATAAGGTGTGTGCGTTGTACAGCTTCAGATTATCGGATTAATTGACGGCGCGGTTATCCCTAATTAGCTGATCTGGTCAGCTGACACCGTGGGATTACCCCGCACTACCTCCGTGTACACATCAATATATCCGTTTACGATCAATTAATGCTCTTGTACTGAATAGGTTCCACTTGATGGTAGAATTACAATACTCATGCGCAATAATCATAAAACTGTTTAAAAATAAGTTTGGTCTCATGGATCTTGAAATGATGAAACTTGTTATGACCCGAAGAAATAAAACAATTTCATGTATCTACTCTGGTATGAGTTTTAATAATCTATATTCCTTGTGTTTTTTGAGGCTCCTTCACCTAACCACTATCTTCGACATAAACTACCACCATTGATGCAAATTTTTCCTAATGGTTTATGGCTATTTATATTTATTAAATTCCAACTTCCTTCATTTTTTTTTCTGTTTTACTTTTTGAAAATTTATCAATACGGACTTCACCCTTCGGGAGCTCCTACCTTACTCAACATCTGTTAAAACTCGATTTCGAAATATTTCAATTTTCTTAGCGGGAATTAAAAGAAGATATAAAATTAAAAAAAAATAATGAAACATAAAATTTATTTTAATTCGTCCAGCAAAGCGGGCGCGAAACGGCTAGTTAATTATATATAAAAAATAAATACAATTTGTAATTTTAACTTAACGACGCTCAAGTCATTTATATAAAAAATTAAAATTCAAAATCATTCATTAATTTAGGTAACACAATGTACACTTATGAACGTCAATAAAGAAATACAAATTAAAGGAATTTAATTTTACTGCCAGTTCTTCAGAAAAACTCTCCGCCACTCTTTTTAATTGCCAAGGTTTTTGTTGTATTAAATGTTTATTAGGAGCTGCAACCATTACACCATGTTCCACATGACACCTTTAAGTAATTAACCAATAAAAAACAAAGATTTGTCCTCTATCAGCAGTAGGCATGGTGAAATAGGAGCACGCACTTACAATCTCGTGGAAACAACACGCAATAACACTAGAAGATAAGCAGTAATATAATATTTACTAAAATAACAAAAAGATATTCAAATCGAGATCAGAAAAACTTCTTATAGTGCCATCTCCTTTAGAAGGTTGGCGATCATCATGTCTACTTCTGGATGCTATTACTTACAAATGCGATTTAAGACAGTTAAACTTTATAGATTTCTGAATTTTTTCAAATGAAATGGTCGTCCAAGCGATAACATCTTATATGTCTATGGCTACCGAAGCTAAGATAATCCCAAGATTAGGCCGAAGCCCGCGACCTCACACAACTGAACACGCACTTAGTACTTATCCCCAAATTAGATTAAACACTTAACGAATATCTCTTTGTTTCAGAGGAATCCGGCGATCTCATCAAGTCACCCTCCCCGCCCCCCAGCCATGGTAAGTGTCACTGAATTTTATAAAGATTTACTTAGATTTGCTAATTTACCAAGACGTAGCTAGGGCCTTTTATTCAAATAAGCTTTAAGGTCACACGGAGTGAGAGAATACGGCGGTTGTTTGGACCTTGCAAATGAATCTTAAATTAAGCACGGGACAGATATATACTTGCCCAAGATCTAGTTAGTACATACTTAATAAAAAAATAGATAACAGATAATTAACTGCATGGCATATTACTATTTTTAATATTACTTCAACTTTTTGCAAGCTTTTAAAAATTTATGATTAAAAATATTATCGTATAAATTTATTTTTATATCGATCTTGTAGATTTGCTGAAGAATATATTATACCTTTATCGGGCTTTAGGTATTTCACCATTTCAAAATCGCTAATTAACTGAAGCAGTCCCTTATTATTTTAAGGCGAAATATAAACACTCAATACAATAAAATTTGTAAGTCGAGATTTAGCATACACCGTCTTAGTGTACTTAACTGCCATTTTCCTTTCAAAATATATATGAACAATATATTTTTGACTTTTTTATACGAATTGCTCGCGAGATCGAGAGTATAAGCAGGTATGATAAAGGGTACAAGGTGCGAAAGACGGAAGGATTAACGTCGTACGCGCAGGCACGCTCCAATATAAAAAGTGTGGGGTCGCAAGTCGCGGCTTTTCTTAGAGAAAGTGCAAGGGCACAACCCTTCCTCGACACGAGACACAATAGTCGCACGCGAGAACGTCGTATACGAAACAATAATTATAGTATCAAAAGCATTTGTTGTGATTACAAAAGATTAATCGAAGTTTTCTACCCATGTGTTAGATTGTTATGAGCTTTTAAATTGATATGTTCTTCATATATGTACATGTATTTCGAAAGAGTTTGTTAATTGCAAAATAGATATTAAATCATTAGTAAAAGGAATTTAAAACTTTTAGTTTCTTTTCATAACATCTTTGACATTTAACTTCAGATATATTTTAATTGTATATTATGAAAATCAATATTCTTTCCATACAAAAAGTCCAGTTTTATAGAAAAACTAATTTATAGTCTAGCTCCAAATGACAGTTAAACTTAATAAGACATAACGTACATTCTAAATAGGTCTTATTATCCCTGATGTATAATCTCATTGAAATATACAAAATCCAAAGTCTATTAATTTACATAAAAATGCTACAAACGTTTGTATATAAGCGCATGCGCGTATAAAATTATTATAACTTTGCCGTGCAAATGTGTTATGATGGCGCATTTTGAGTTAAAAAGGTTTCGCATTAACTATTAATTCACCCCGCTGCACCCGGTGCATTGTGATTTTTGCTGCGTCGCGTCCATTGTTCGAAATCAAATCAAAAGGGTGAAATTATATTCAATGTTAGGTACGCCTGCTGGATATCGATATTATGTATTTTATTCATTCAACTAGCTTTTAAATAAGGTCATTATATACTAGTATATAATAATAATCAGTAGGTATAGCGTGATTTTGTGTTGAGGGGATTATTAGATCTTCAGAAGAAAAATAACCAAATTTAACACAAATTTTTAAATAAATTCATAATTATAACTCAAGGAACTAATAAATAACTTTGCCTGTTGAATGTTAGATTTCGTAAATATTCGTTAAAAATGATTTTTTTGTCCATAGTTTTAGACGTGCTAAATGAAAGACTTAGTCTAGATGTAACATAACTAAGTTTTTAATGATACAGTTAAATGAAAAATTAAATTTTTTTTGACATCGAGGTTATGTTATATATATGTGTGTACCTTGTAAGGCAATTATACAAATATATATAAATCGAAACCTTTCTTGTTCATATTTCGTGGTAGGTTCTAAAGTATACTTAAAAGTTTACTTAAACTGAAAACAAATATAATTTTTGAAATTTATGTGTGTGTTCCTGTCTTCAGACGGCTCGGCGAGCGGCGAGGGCGAGCAGAGTGGCGACGAGCGACCCCCTTCAGCTCCCTGTCGCCCCACTGCCCCACCACGCGCGCCCCCTCATCCTGTCCATGCTGCCGCGCTGCTGCAGAGCGCCGCCAGCGTGGCTGGTGCAGGCAATGCGCTCGCCCAGTTGCAACATTTATTGCTTACACAACACGGCGCGCATTCTCTATTGCTACACACACAGGTATGCCATATACAAACTATATGTGAACAATGATAGAAAAAGAAGGGTTTTATAACTGTGACGTCATAAAATAGTTCACAATTTATTGTCAGTATAAATAAAACGTGTTTGTGCGTGAAATCTACTCTATAAGTATTCTTACTTTCGTTAAAACACGCTTTTAATGAAATTACAATCAAGATAACTTACGAATACTCTTTCGAGTTTCAGGTGCAACAGGCAGTGGCGCAGGCGGCGGCGCAGCAGTTGCAGCAGCTGCAGGCACGCGCTGCCCCACCTCCCGCTCCACTGACGCGTTCACCGTCACCTGTATCACGTGGATCTCCACCTGGAGCCGCAGCCTTCCTTACGCCACACACTCCAGGCCCGGGACGCGCGCGTTCACCACACTCACACTCTCATTCACACGCGCACGCGCTCTCGCACGCGCACTCTCCGCTGCACGCGCATGCGCACAAGCCGCGCGCTCTAGATCCCGCCGACGACACAGCTGATCTGGAAGAACTCGAGCACTTTGCCAAAACCTTTAAGCAACGTCGCATCAAACTAGGTATGAGAAAAAAATTACTTGACCTTATTTGATTAATCCTTATTTATATATTACAAATCAGGTGAAAGAATCAAATTAAAGAAGTGATATTAAGACATTTCTTTCCAAGTGTTATTATTATTTAGACTTGATAGATTGTGCTAGTATTAGTCAATACTTACTTTATTTTATTTGATTGTTGACAGGCTTCACACAAGGCGACGTCGGATTGGCTATGGGCAAACTGTACGGCAACGATTTCTCGCAAACCACTATCTCACGGTTCGAAGCTCTCAATCTGAGTTTTAAGAACATGTGCAAGCTAAAGCCGCTTCTACAGAAATGGCTGGAGGATGCCGACTCCTCGTTGCCTGGTAGCGGCGGGGCGGCTTTAGGAGCTGGTTTGGCAGAAGCCGTTGGCCGGCGACGCAAGAAACGCACCTCCATCGAGTCGGGGGTCCGTGTCGCCCTCGAGAAGGCTTTCCTGCACAACCCCAAGCCTACCAGCGAGGAAATCGCCGCGCTTGCCGACTCACTCTGTATGGAGAAGGAGGTGGTGCGTGTCTGGTTCTGCAATCGTCGCCAGAAGGTATGGTTATTATGTACGATTTCTTAAAGTAAAATTGTTACAATTGTAATATTCAATCAGTTCTTATAAGTTTGTTCTTTTTCAGGAAAAGCGGATAAACCCGCCAGCGGGCGAGTCAGGTCCAGGTGGGGCCTCCTCACCTAACAGCGGATTGATGCCAGTGCTGGCCCACGGATTATCGCACGCGCACGCACACGGCGTGCTCGGCGGTGGCCCGCATGGGGTTCACGGTCCGCACGGGGCGCACGGAGCCGCACACGCCGCGTTCCAGGCGGCGGCGTTGCAGCCGCTGGCGCTGCTATCGCGAGCGCCGCGCGACTGACGCTCGCACATCCTGTAAATACCGGCCTCTGTACATAACGGGCGACGTGCAGTGCGCGACAGACTTTAGCGACGATAATTAGTTCTAAAACTAAAGATTATTTATAGATATTGTACAGAATCTTAAAGTTCATGTTATTTTTTATTTCAATATTTACGTGACGAATTTTATATTGTATAGTGGCGTCTGTTATCTGTGAAGTGTTTCCCGGCCGACGCGTCGAGTGCGGTAGGAATTAGGTAGCTGTAAGGTAGCGGATAGTATCGGATATATTTATGTGAGGCGCCCTGCGCTCTGTACAGAACTCATATCACTTAGCGCATCACGCGATGTAAGGTGGATGTGTAGAACTATCTATATGTTATAATAAAACATCATAGATCTCTATCTCTCTTCTTATTTACACCCCTCTCGTTCCACAGCATATTTTTTTTGTAATAGTATAATTGTTGTAGATTAAAAGTATGGTCGGTGTTAAACAAGGTAATTTCCAATAATACCTCATTAAGGAAGCCGACACTTAATTTAAATAATTGAACGGTCACAAAAATGTGTCTGCTCCATATATGGGGTTTCAGGACTTAGCTCTTTGTTGTTACTTTTTATTTTCAAAAATATTCGTAAAAATGACAAAAATTTATCTATAGTCCCAAAAGGGACTATAACGGATAAATTTTTAGCAATATATTGTAAAAATTAATTATCAAATAGCGTTTCAGATCTCTAAAGAATTAAACTAAGAAAATAAAAAAAAAACATGAGCTCGTCCTAAAATTTCATATGTAGTACCGTATCGTAAATTCGTTTTTTCAGTCTTGGCAATTGAATTTGATTATATTTTTGGAAGAAATAATACAGGGTCTAAAAATTATTAATATTCTTTTTTCAAATTTAATTTTCCTTTTTCCCGACATGATTGAAAAACTAGACTTGCAACAAATACTTCGAAAATGATGAATGTAACATAAATGTGTGATGTAGAAAAATCAAGTATATTACTAAAGTCGACAACAAAGTTCTTTTCTTATGTACTATTTAACGACTATTGTATATGTACAAAGAGTACATTTCAATGATTTTAAACTAAATTTGTAAAAAAGTATGTAGAAGATGAATTACAATATTTTACAAAAGTGTAACTGAATAGGCCGAATTAACATCTAAGAAAGTATTCGTTGCAAATCTATAAAACATTATTTGTGTTAATATTAAATCAAAATATATGAATTCATAATAAAAGACTAAAGAAAATTATAGATATTTTTTTTCTTATTTTGTTGCACGACATCTAGTATTATAACGTTGAAACAGATATCCTGAACAGCGACATCTAATATGAGATAGTAGAACTACAATAACACGAAGCAATACGAAGACGTCCATTTTGCGTATTGTTTTGTAATAAATTAAAAGATGGCAGATTACATTCTGGATTTAAAATCAAATTTTAACAAATATACTATTATAGGTAGAATATATATTACATGTAGAATACATAGACTGATGAGTTGGTTAATTTAAAATTTATTTGTTTTATTGGTTATTAACCATAAATAATCAATTTAAAAAATATATTATTTTTAATTCTGCGCAAAATCATAACAGGGTTTTTACGATTGCACTTTGTGGTTTATTATAATACATTAGTTCTTCAGTATGACATGAAATATTCTGAAACGGTATTTAAATTTCAAATGAATTTAAAATAATTACTAGTAGTGGTAGAGTATATATAAAATGTATAAAAGACAATCGTAAAATCAGCAAATTTTCAGGTTCGTTGCCACTTTGACCTAGATGAATGCAAACATGTGAACTAAAGTTTAGACATCGCGCGCATACGATGCACAACGGGCAATTGAGTCGACCTTAATCTGCGCTATCGTACACGTTATCAGTGCGCGACAAGATATCGTCGACACCTCACCTGTATAGTGTAAGTGACTGTGACTAAAACGATGACCTGCAAGGACCGGCTAACTGAGTTACGACGTGTAAGTACCGCGAACTAATTCAAATTTAATTCATCAAATAACTAAATCTTTCAAGTAAACAAGCACGAAGGTGACCAAGAAAAATCTAAGTTTAAGGAATATATTATTTTCCTTAAGCCACGAAACCAAGGTATATAACCTTGGAAAAATTTATATAAATACGAATGTAAAATGCCGTGACCTCATGTACACAATGACACTTCATAATAAGACGAGCACACAATATGACATATCGTTTATTCACTTTTGTTAAACTGTACTTGTTAACAATAACTTATGATAATACAATTGGTCTCTCTAAATAAGACCGCCTACTTCCGATTGCAAAATAAAAGCGCCCGCTTCCTTTAGACATAATTTTGAGAAACTTTTTTCTTCTGTACTCAATGATAAAAAGTATGAATATTTAAAAAAATATCTATTGTTTAAACATAATTAAATTAGGTTCAAAATCAATAAGTCGTAAATCAGTATTATTTAAATGTTATAAAACCATTCACTTTTAACTTTCCTTTCTACTGTTTCTGCGTTCTGAGTTTATGTTATGAGTTAACTTTCAACCTATGCACAAAAATACTTTAAACAAAGATATTCTGAAATAAATGCAGCAGAGAGAGAGATTCGATAAAATAGAGTATACTCAGGATAATGTATGGTCTAAGATCCCGATATACAACGACCTTCACCCGAGATGCTTATTTAATGAACCGTATTTTATATTTAATTTAATATGTCAATAAATATAATCCATATGGGTTGCCTAGCAAATTTCAGTCCAGAGTATTTTAATTAATATTGGGTCCTTACATATGAAATTGGCGTTTTTCGTACTGGCAACTTTAATCACGATGTTCTCCTCTTTGGTAAGGAATTTCAAATTCAAATTTGTACAACTATTTACTCATGTATTTGTGCTTCGATGACCGTCATTCATTTGTTTTTTTCTTCTGTTCGCGTCACTCATTTTACAAAATGGAAAACTTAAAGTATCGCATTATTTACGAGTACGAGTTCCGCCGTGGCACTAGTGCTGCGGAAACGACTCGAAGGGTGAATGATGTGTATGGCGGTCATGTTGCAAAAGAAAACACAGTTCGTTTTTGTTTCCAACGTTTTCGTTCTGGAAATTTCGACCTGCAAAACAAGCCCCGTGGACGGCCTGAGACCCAAGTTGATAATGAAGTATTGAAGGCTATTGTGGAAGCGGATCCATCGCAAACCACGTCCGAGTTAGCTGCAGGCTGCGGTGTTAGTGATAAAACTGTTTTAATTCACTTGAAGCAAATAGGGAAGATTAAAAAGCTTGAAAGATGGGTACCGCACGAATTGACTGAAGCAAACCGGCAAACGCGCGTCGACTGCTGCGTTACATTACTGAACCGGCACAATAATGAAGGTATTTTAAACCGAATCATTACCTGTGATGAAAAATGGATTCTTTACGATAATCGGAAGCACTCAGCACAATGGTGGCCAGCCAGCCAAATCCTGCCCCAAGCGAAAATTAACCCCAAAAAAGTTACTTGTAAGCGTTTGGTGGACTAGTGCCGGTATTGTTCATTGCAGTTTTCTCAAATCTGACCAGACTATTACGGCTGATGTCTTTTGTCAGCAATTGCAAACCATGTTGGAAAAGCTAGCGGCTAAACAACCTAGGCTGGTCAATCGCTCCACGCCACTGCTACTTCACGACAACGCTAGACCACACACTGCACAACAGACGGCTACCAAATTAGAAGAGCTTCAATTGGAATTTCTAAGACATGACAAGACTTGCTCCAACAGATTACCATTTTTTTCGAAATTTGGACAACTTCTTGCAAGGGAAAAAATTTAACTCTGATGGGGCAGTCCAAATCGCCTTCACAGATTTTATTGATTCCCGTCCGACTGGTTTTTTTAGTAAAGGGATCAATGAACTACCTATGAGATGGCAAAAGTTCATAGAAAACAATGTCATAGTTTGGTCAATTAAATATATTATATTTAAAAATATTAGACTTTTTGTTCCTCCCATACAAAACGCCAATTTCATATGTAAGGACCTAATATTTAAAAAAAATGTTTTTAAACATTTTACCGGTATGATTATTAGATAAATTCTATACCAATCGAAAGTATGAAGCCCATAGAATATGCAAACGTTAGGTTGTTTTTAATCAATTAATTATTTATGTGTATATTTTTTATGTGACACTAAAGTATATATACATCTTTAGTAAAAAAGAAAGATATAGTGATACATATATAATACTACCCTGATTAAAAATATTGATTGAAAAAAATTAAAAAAATTTACTTCATGCAAATTATATATATTTTTTTTTAAATATTAATTAAACATACTCTGGACTGAAATTTGCTAGGCAACCCATATGGATTATATTTATTGACATATTAAATTAAATATAAAATACGTTTCATTAAATAAGCATCTCGGTAAAGGTCGTTGTATATCGGGATCTTATACTAGTAGATTTCTACTGATAAAACCTGGATTGAAGTTAGTAGGTATTAAGGTTACAATGTGATTTCTGTATTAAATACCTACTGAACTAAACTAGTGGCGCTACAACCTTTTTGGTCTGGGCCTTAGGTTTCTGTATCTGTTTCATGATCATTTGTCAATCTACAAGGCAAGTAGGTGATCAGACTTTTTTGCCTGACACACTGACTTTGGCTGTTAGGCATCCCGGTTTTCTCTCGATGTTCTATTTCACCTTCGTCAAATGCGCACATAGACAGAAAATCCATTGATGCACAGCAGGGGTTCGAACTACAAGAATGAGAGTCACACGCTGAAGCTACTAGACCAACACTGTTCTCTGTAAAGATAGACTATAGATAACTATATATACCGTGTGTAGATAGCGAGTTCTGCCGCTGGTAGTTCAGAAAGCGAGCCATTCGATGTTGAGGGCGGGGAAGCATTGCCGCCGCCCGCCCAGCACCAACAGATACAGGAAATTATCATAGAGGTAACATATTCTAAATAACTCAACTTATATATTATCAAAGAAAAGTTGTACGAGAGACCAAAGTGATTTTATCCCGTGGCGTAGTGATTAACGCACTTATTCGTTCAATTCCCCGAGAAGCATTTTTTTCTGGTTGGTTGGCACAGCCTTTAAGAATTATTAATGATACAGACGATGTATTGTATTATCTGCCCCACCATGTTGGTATTGATATTGTATAGTTATGAGAGTTTAGATCAGCAAATATTCTTAATACACTAATTCAGCCCATATTTTGGTAGGATTTATTTAAAGAAGATCCCACAGCAACTGCTTTCGTTCTTTAAATATGTGCAAGAAAAAGTTTTCCATTTAAAGCTATAATTAAGGACTATGAACATTCCAAAATTCTTGAATAACTTAAAAACTAAACTAAATTAACAATACCTAGAAAAAGTAAAGAACTAAAACTACTAGTACATGGTTTAAGTAACACTTTCGTTAATCAAATCAAATGCTTTATGACATACGGAAAGGGGGTACTTACCGCTTATTCTTGACTATAAATCTCAAATCCAGCTTCCATGCATATAAAATAATATATGTGCTGAAATCAACTTCAAATTCATTTATTCATTTAGGTAACACAATGTACACTTATGAACGTCAAAAAGAAATACATATTAAATGCTTCTAATTTTACATTAACTGCCAGTTCCCAAATCAAGGGCGTAGAACGGAAGAGAAGAACTGGCAATTAACTCTTCGCCACTCTTTTAATCGCCAAGTGTTTTGATTTACAAAAAGTTTGTAAGGAGCTGCAACCATTACACCATGTTTCATATGCCATCTTTAAGTAATAAAATTTATTAGGAAATACCATATATTGGTAAAATTGGGAATTCACAATATATCTACACTTATATTATCGAAGTTCTAAAGTTGTCTTGTATATTCCAAATAAGTTATTCATTAAGTCCAATTAAAAATCAATAAATTGCCTCATTTTGCATTTTTGTGGTTATATTCAAGTTCGTTGGTAATGTATGTAACAATTCAAACAAACTGTTAGTAGATTCCTGATAACGGTAGATATGGTTATCAGTGTTCTTTCACGAAAATATTTGATTAGTTAAATGTGAACTCGTTTACATTTATAATCGGATTAAAGCAAGTTAACCTCTACATTGGTGGGTTGACTTTTCCAAAAAATATGTAATTATAGACACGAACAATTAAAGACCTACTAATTAAGATAAAAAATGTGCAATGTTTGGCGTTACTTGACGCTCTAGTGCAGTGGTTACCAACGTGGGCCCACGCTCCACATGGGGGCAATTATATTGCTAAGGGGGCTAGGCAAAATTATTATGAATTTGAATTTCACTTTTTTCATTATGTTTTGAAAATTTACTTACTGTTTTTCGTTAACAATTTCCTAGTAATTTATTCCTAAAACCTATCGTTTATGTTTTCTAAGTGAACAATTAAATTATTTATATAATAATTATGTATGTTGAATAGGGGGAGGGGAACGCGTATTATTTTTAGAAAGGCTAAAGTGGGGCATGGCATAAAAAGGATGGGAATCACTGCTCTGGTCCTTTCAACGCCCACGAAACGTTAAATAAATAATGTAGTTATTTTCGTTTATACAAAAAATATAGATTTAACAATAGGTATAAGCTATATTCAATTATTGATATGTATTTTCGAGTCCTTCGTATATATCGTCTTGTCTAAATAAAAAAATGTAAAAAAAAGCCGCTTTAAAATTCTATTTCTCTATTGGTCTGGAAAACTAGAGCACAAATTGTTTATAACAGTTAATATGTACTTGAGCGAATATTATGATGATATCATCGAGATTAATGAAGCTGAATGTCAACAATCAACACTAAACTTTATGCTCTCATACAAAAATAGCATATTAACAAGCATTAAATAGTTATCTTAAAAAATCTCTTGTGGCATGGCGTCTAAGACTCCGACAGCGGAATTTTCTCAAACATTTATATAGTTTAATAAAACTTTCAACAGACTTTTGACACTTTAAATATTTCAAGAACGAACAATAAATACTCCATTAATATTAACATAAAGAATGGGAATCTTATGAGACACTTTGTTTTGGATTAAACGAAAAAGCCAATGGGAGATCTAACAAGACTATCATAACAATTTTTACAATGTTTCAACTCAATTTCCTCCTTGATTAATTCCTGAACATCACAATCATCATTTTTAAACCAACGCTCATCTAGAAGCACGCTGGAGTTTCACCCCTTTGTTGTTGATAGCACTGCACGATTTGGATCGTTGTCTCTTGTAAAAAGAGCAAAGGAGTAGAACTCCTCGCCCCTCTTCCATCTTCCATAAGCACTAAACAGTTTAAAAGGTTTAACCGGCGGTTTAATAGGCATCTCCTGGACAGGCGTGCCCTCCAATTAGCCACATATGTTTATGGAAAAACGTCCGTCCAATACTGTATAAAAAAAGATACGTATATTACAAAAAAGGCTGGTAAAAGGGGTCTGTTTTGATTATTTGTATCTAGATGGTACCGCTATTCCAGGTAGAGAGGACTCGCGCTTGGATCAATGATATAATACAGAACACTCTTCATATTCGGCGTCTGCACAGTGATCCTACGTACCATACTAATACCGGTAAGCATTCTCTATCTTAGTAGATCATTATGGATTAATTAATAAGCCTTTTCTCAAAGGAAAAGAACAATCGTATGTAAAAACGTGTAATCACCTAAGTATGGTGTCCAGCAAATAAAGTTGCTATCAGTAGATGCGCAGAATTTATTTTTAGAAATAAAAACCTAAATAATAATAATAAAAAGAAAATTAAAACAAATTGAAAATGTTTAGACCCTGTGGCAGTGTACCTTTAACGCTGGCAGCATTTCCTCGGTGTATTGCGGTACTTATTCATTGAGAGAGCAAAGCACCAGCTCTGGGGTCACCGGTACTATCTACCAGATGCCAACGTAATTCTTAATTTGCACCTGTGCACTTGAACCCCATGGCTCAAGAGTCTCTTCTTTAAAGGGATTTCTTTTTAGAAATTCTTCCTAAAAAAACACGTGCAGTCATTTTCTTAGCTCACGATAAGTACTATGTATTTACAAAATGCTGGTAGCTATAAATTTTAGTAACAACAATTTAAAAAAATCATATTTTTGCTAACACAAAAACACCTGGAAAAAATACTCTCTAAGTATTTAAATAATCTTTTATAACGGGAATAATAGCTGTAAAACACACAAAACACCAGAGTTATGTAATAATGTTACAATATCGCGTTCACATCCGTAAGGAAGTAATATTAAAAGGTCAGAATAATCTTCTTAAAACTTATATTGGATTTTAACATAAGGGTCTGTTCGGGCTAAGTTTCGTTTCTGACTATCACTTTATTATTGACTAGCGGCCTGTCCCGGCTTCGCTCTAGTGGACATTTTTTTTTTTTTAGATATATGTTCTTTAATACTGTGGAACATTTTTTTGTTCTATCATCAATAGTTTTCTATTTTATAGGGATTTTTTTACACCTTGGGTACCATTATCATTTTATTATTATATTTCATATGTTTTAGTGGGGACCATAATTTTTTATTGCAATTAAAATAGCCTATATTAATCAGTGATAATGTAGCATTCAAATGGTGAAAGAATTTTTTAATTCAGTCCAGTACTTTTTGAGTCAATTCGTTACAGTACTTATAACGGTATACAAATCTTTCCTCTTTATAATATTAGTATAGATGTGCAAATGTTTGTCATGAGTCTCAACTCACGTTATAGTACTACAGGAGCGGGTGGACTCATTGATAACAGCATCAAACGCGATTGGCCTGAAGGTATGCGGCGCCCTTCGTCAGCTCGAGGAACGCTGCAAGTCAGCGGGATCAGCGGCGGCAGGGCGCATCACCAGACTACAGTATGCGGTTACTCGCAGACTATACGCTGATGCACTTGAGGACCACCATCGCGTACTGCAACTGCTACGGGATCATCAATTACGCCTATTGCATGACCAGATCAGACTAAGTAAGCCACTTTTAGATGTTATCTCTTTTCCTTTCTTTCTGTTCTCTTTATTTGAGATTTTCGCTAAAAACAAAAGTAAAAATTTTGATTATATGTTTAAGTTACATGTGTCTTAATGTGGAGAGACAGAAATGCTTATTGCACTTTACAGTCGCAGTCATCGACCCGCTCGCTGCTTCCGGATTACAGCGATCCGATAACGGGGAATTAGTGAGGCGTTAATCACTGTACAAAGATTTCATTACCTCTACAGACGCAAAATATTATTGTTAATACCATATTGTTCCTTGTATATTTGAATCTAGATCCGCTTTAGTTTTGCCGCAAAACTCAAGAAGCTCAGTAGGTAATTTGGAAGCACAGGACGAAGAAAATTAACTGCACTTAACACAAAAAATCTGATAGATATGATAGCTTTATTAGACTAATCGAAAGTATATTTAGTTAATTCTGAATACTTAATAGCAAACATACTGCAGCTAGCCCGGGATTGAAAATAATTGACGAAAGTAGAGAAAAACCATAAAACTAGATAATTTATTTTTCATTTATTTGTAACGGTCAGTGAATACATGCTTTTATCATATCTTTTCAGCAAATCTAAGCATAACAGATGAAGAATGCGAGCGGCTCTTAGATTCAAACAACATCTCCTTCTTTGTGGATAATGTAAGTTAATAATACATTTTCGATGTGGGAAGACATCATCGGAAATAAGTCTCTGTTGCTTCACTTATCTCAAGAACTGTGAGATACGTTTTCCCATTTCAATATATATTTTCTTTCAAATTCTCTTATTTAACTTTTCTGAACAATTGCTACCTAAAGAAAATGTTGTCAAGTAATAATGTAGGTATATTTAAACATCTCCCAATTTCCAATATCAGAATACAAATGTCCTATGCGCCGCTTAACAGCGTATGTTTTGCCGGCATTACATAACGTGGACTAACGATACTGCCGTGCTTATTATGTAACTGTAACCATGGTAACAAAGACGTGCTACTTTAGTCCACGTAATGTCTTTTATGTTTGTGTAGGTAGAAGCAGAAACAGCACAGGCGCGACTGGCACTGAGAGAGGCTGAAGTGCGACGCGATGACTTAGCCCGAGTGGAGGAAGCACTGAAGAACGTACGGGACTTGTTCCTTAACCTGGCGCATCTAATTGCTGCACAGGTATGTATCTGATATAACTTGTACTAGACATAAAAATTACATGTATTAAGTGGGTATTTAATCATTGTCTAGGCCTGTGAACTAGTATAATGAGCGTGATAGTTATAGGGATTGATTCTTAAGGAATACAGAAGGAAGAATATTGCACAACTTACATTGATTTGAAATGCCTAAATGTTTTGAATTCCCCTTTTGAAATTCCCAATTTCCCAATTCATGCTTTATCCAAATAATGTTTTTTCTCTATGACTAACAATACCTATATCAAATAACACACTTAACTATAACATAGTCTGCAATTCGCAATTGATAATCTCCTCACATTCCGTTAAAATAAAGTATAGAGTTCTCTACTTTTTGTTATTTGATGGATACCGAGTCCAACACTCTGACACAAATGTTACAGCAAGAGCAAGTAGACAGCGTAGAATATTATGCGCTGCAAGCAACTGAGCGGGTGGAGTATGGCGGACAGGAGCTTCTGAAAGGGACAGTCTCCAGGCGAAAAGCAAAAAAGGTAACATACATGATACTATATATTAGATGCTCATAGTATATATATCAAAAACTTATTGAACTTTGACAGACGGGATAGGTAGTTCATCTTTCCAGCTTCACGATCTGCCTTCTCACCTCCTTTCCTTCACCGTTTGAGCAAATGTTTTGCTGCACAGCCGAGATTCGGACGCACGAACAAATAAAAAAAAAACTAATAAAATATATTTTGTATTTTAACATCGTTCGAGCGCTCGTACCAATAGACGGTACGGCTGTCAGATATTTTTAGTTACGTCACATACTTTTCATCAGAACAGTCTAGCCTAGCCTAGTGGCTTCAGCATGCGACTCTCGTCCCCGAAGTCAAAGTATCGAACCCAAGCTACGAACTTCCGAAGCAATGGACTTTCTGTCTGTGTCTCACTTTAAAGTTATGCATTCCTTAGACCCAACGACCCAACGACTTCTGTGTCGACGGCGAGTGTCAGGCACAGAAGGCTAATCACCTACTTGCATATTTAAAAAAGCCAAGCCTGAGGCGAAGACCTCAAAATGCTTTTTTCGAAGTTATTAATTTTCGTTTTTATTTTCAGAAAAAGCTTGGGTTAATACTATGTCTAACATCGGGTTTCCTCATCGTCCTCTTAGTGCTTATAATCACGTAGAATGTCATTGTCTGAAGATATGTTAGGAACTTATTTATTAAGCAACGAATACTTAATGTAAATACGCAAATGAAGCTAGTCATAAGTACATCTAATATGTTGCTAAATTAATATTAATAAGCTAGGTAAATGTCAAAGGCCAATCGCTATTACAACGCAAGTAGCAAGAATGACGTTTAGTTAAATACGAAATTTATGTTAAACAGGCTTTGGGTTGAAAAGATAAATATAGTCAATAAATGATATGTTTCCGTTAAAATTCCGATACAAGTTCCCAAATAATATTGTAGTTTAATTATATAATTTAAAAACGGAAGGTATTTTATTTAGCCTCTGTTTTAAAAAATGTGACTTTGTGTATGATTTATTTTTAGTGAAATATTAATATTTTTAAGTAAATTTACATATTTTTTGTTAAATAAAGTAATGTTCACCAAAAGTGGCTGGTAATATAATAAGTAGTTGATAAATAAAAAACTATGTATAGAAAAAACTAAGAGCAACAGTTTTGTTGTAATAAAGTATTATAATAAAAACAAATTTAAGATAATTATTTATTTTTAATTATCCTCATGTGATATGTTATAAACTATACTATGATCTTGTTGCAGACGAAAGTGTCCATATTTTGATCTTCATTAACATTTAACCGCTAGCTGAAAGTTCAGAAAGTATTATGAGCAACAGTAAAACAAACTACTTACTCGTACTTAAATTATTCGGTTCTATGCAAATTTCTCTAAAAATAAAATTTAATTCAATCATAATTATGACTCTAGTATTCCATAAAAGTGTCATCTATTGTATATTAGTCTAAACACATAATGGTTGCATGCATATAACGTAGTTTTCAATATGTCTACTAGATGACAATGCAAAAAAAATACAAATTTTTAGTATCAAAATCTCAATTTTAAAATAACTATCGATGCATACAGGCTCTATCAATTAATATAATATTGCTAATTTAATGCAAAAAACATTTTATATAAAAACCAAATTTATTTTGAAAAGCGACATCTGTTGCGCAAGTGCTTAAGTACTGTAATTTAGGGAATTTATTTGGTCGTTATATTAATTGTTAGATGGCAGCACTACTAAATAACGCAATGTATCATAATTAATAGGAATCAATAGGCTATTTGACAAGTATTTATTAGTGCTAGAATTTAGAAATATTATAGTGACTATAGAGCCTACACAAATTTTGTTAGGAAATGTTTTTAAATATTCAAATGAAATATTTATAATTTTAAGACCCGCCAAAACGCCGCACTATAGGCAAGATGGCGTCCAGTTCTTGTGACGAACTAGAATTCGGGATTGTTTGATAAATTATGGGATAAGTTGATTTGTTAATTGTATGTGGTTGTATTTACTTACAGGTATTGTTAAGAACTACTTGAGCAACATCAGCAAGTGCTAGAAACTTCTCAAGTGTATGCTGAAGATGCGCCTGGAAGAGGGCCGAGATCAAGGATGTCCCATTCGCGATTTCACTGCACACAATGCAAAAATTGTAAAATAGGAATAAAAAACAGAGTGCGTGTACTTATGTAGGTACGCGCGTAAGAAGTTACACTTCTTTGGGATTATTAAAAATAGTTTTTGATTGCATGCAAATAATGAATTACAATTAAATAATCAAAGACTGGAAAAGGAGTCATTATAGTCAATAAAGTTCAGTTTACATTAGATAAATTTATTAAATAAATATTTATTATTATTCTCTTATATTAAGTATAACATAAATTCTATTATTATTCGAATGTTGTTTTTAAATTATGTCCAATGCCGTAGCATCTTCCGTGGGCTACTTCATTCTGTTAATTTTGTGTCACGGTGCGCGCGCATCGTAAAATTTCACTCTCATCAATTTTTCATAACGCGCCTGAAGAAGTATAACTTCAAAAATTATAGGGGTGTTCAAATGTAAAACGAGAAAGGAGACGTTTTACTATAATTATTGGTGAAACGGAAAGACGGTCCGTGTCTCGAGTCTATAGGTGAGGTTCAGGAACGAGTCTTAGGGCGATCTTTGACCATGTTTCTGACGTACAAGAGGCGGACGTAGCGGTAAGTCCCGATTCTCATCAATCATATGTGGAGAGGCTGGCTATCTCTCACTCAGGTCTCCTGTTACAGAGACCAGTCTCTCACATACACTTCCTAATGTTATCATCTTAGTTTAATCATAAAAACCTTGTATGTATATGTGAGAGAAGAAAATAAAGATTATTATTATTATTATTATTATATCTTACAATCAAGTGAAATACGCCAATGTATATCTGCCGTTTTACATTCTACCAATGACAATTAACGTCAATATTTGAAGAATAATAAATTCTTCAAATATTGACCTGAATATATAGCGGAGATAATAAACATTCAATCAAAATTTAATGAGTGTTAGTTTTATACTAAATACTTTGTCTACGCTAGTGAATTATTGTTTTGTGACTTTTAATATACCTATATGTAAATGGGTAAATGCGTCCTCCAGAATCCTCTTTACCGTATAGGATACAACAAACAAAGAAACAACGAACAAATATTGTTTTTTGCTCGATTTGAAAATAGGGCATCAATTGGTATAAGAATCTTTGGAAAAATCGTAGCTATGGAAATAAGCAGAAACTAATTAAATATCAACAACGTATGATTAATTCGTCGATTGTTCGTTAAATTTCGTTTGTTATTTTATTACGATAAAATATTATACAGATGTATAGTTTTTGTCTTTACGCAGGTTACCGTTATCTTTTAGCACGGGCTGCTTTTTAAAAACCTACCAAAATAACTTTTAATGAGTAGATAACAATTACGGCTTACAAATCTCGTGTTAAAACTAGAAACATCCAATAAGAAACTCTTCTCAATTTTGTATTTATTTGATCCAAAAATTTGGCAACGTTTGACACATAATGTATGAATATATTGTCATATAGTTAATATAACTTTACATATGACTATAAAGTTAATCCCATTATCATTTGATTATGAAAATCTCGGCTATAGAAATTTAAATGTCTGTGTACCCACCTGGCGCCGAATAAATCTAACAAGCCAAACAGTGGCCTACATTCTGCGATCGTCTGGAAAGAAAACATTCTTATTAAAATATTTAAAAATACCTGTATGTTCGACGGTTCGACTCTACCGTCAAAATCAAGTACCTACCTGGAGACCTGGGTCATACACGGAAGTCAGTCGTATTACGGATAACAATTATTTACAAATAAAAGTTTAAGCGAGTTTGACCACTCTTCTCTTCGAAGACACTCTCCTTAAAGCCACAGCCAGCCCAGCCCAGTAATCCGATACTGGGCGTTGACGTATCGAAAGACGTTCAGTTTCGTGGTCATTGGGAAGGAAAGGCTAAATTACCTTCTAAAAACTTAATGTGAGAAGGCGAGACTGTACTTCAGACCACCGCTTGTAACTTGTAAATTTGGCCCCACATGGAGTACTGTTCTCACATCTAGGCGGTAGCACCCCAGTACCAGCACTTGGCGTATTCAACGAAGAGCGATTCGAATCGTCGACAACCAGTCACTTTCCGAACAGCTTGATCCCTTAGCATTGCGTAGAGATGTGGAGTCTCTCTGCATCTTCTACCGCATTTACCATGGATAGTGTTCAGAGGAGTTGTTTGGATTAATACCCGCAGTTGAGTTTCATCATCGGAAGTCAAGGCAGAATACAAAATACCATCCGTATCTTAATGCAGTTTTTGACGCACACCACCACTATGTGAAACCAGTTGCCCACTGAAGTATTTCCGAACCAAACCACCGACTTAGGGCCCAAAGAAAAGAGCGTACCAATTCTTAAAAGGCCGCAACGCACTTGCAAGCCTTCTGGGCAATGTGAGTGTCCATGGGCGGCGGTATCATTTAATATCAGATGAGCCTCCTGCCAGTTGGCCCCCTATTATGTTAAAAAAACGAATATTAGTTGGCGAATTTTATCGCGCGCTTTTATTCCTATTTACATTGCGGTTGTCGTCAACAAAAGAAAAACCTATACTAACGCGGTATTCATGTTAAGCGCTAAGTATCTACCCTTTGACAACAAACTCCTTATCTACAATTCTGTTATAAAACCCGTGTGGACCTACGGGATACAATTGTGGAGAGCTACATGTGACTCTAACAAAACTAAAATTCAAAGAACACAAAACTACATCCTTAAACAAATAAGCAACTCGCCTTGGTTCATAAGAAACGCTGAAGTACATGAACACCTAGGCATACATACAGTCAAGGAGGAAATAAAAGTATACGCTCAGAAGTACAAGACTAGGCTGGAATATCATCCTAACCACCTAGCTGTTCAACTCACCCTACCGGAGTATATAAACCGACTCAAAAGACGAAGAACCTTGGAGCTCAGCAGCATTGACTGAGCTAATATTATTATGGTAGATATTCCTAATGAGGAATATCTCCACCCGCGAACCATCCTACAATTCATCTGCTCATAGTCAGAAGACTGATTGCACGATGCGCTCCATTAAAAAAAAAAAAAAAAAGTATCTACCCTAACTCACTTCCAGCTTTTCGATAACCGAAGACGCGTAATTAATCACTCGCTGCATCACGTTGAAGTGAGTTCGTAAGTGAATTGGTCTAGATTTAGTTATAAAACACGGGCCTGTATCGGTTCGAGAAATTATGTAAAAGATAGTTGGTCGGTTCCTACTATTCAACAGGAAAAAATAGTTAGTTTATAAACAGAATAATCACAGAAGTACACGCGTAAACCTTATTAAACTTTCTAAAATATACAAAAAAGGTCGCATATTTGTTACCCATTTGTTTTCTAGTTTAACATAGCGGAAATGTCAGCGCAACACGTCACAAGATAGTTTACACGTAGAAATAGAAGAACTTACCAAAAACAGTAACAATGGCAGGAGATAGACAAATACTCCGCTTGACAGCACACGACTATCGTACGACATCTTTCTAGTATATCTACGACACGATATAACCCGCTTATATACTTCAAATAAACAAAGCCTTTATATTCTTGTTTTCATTCAAATAACGCCTTGTGCTATTTGCTATTGATGAGAGTGCAACTAATCATTAATAAGTACTATTGTTTCCATTATTACACTGGTATCAAAGGAAAATATTTAAATGAGAATATGCACTACATAGCAACAATATAAATGGAAGATTATATTATAGTAGTATAACATTCCATTTCTTTAAATAATAAAAACTAAATTTTAAAGTTAGTTTGTTATTTTCTTCTATATTCTTGGCAGGTATTAAATAAACACCTTTCTGTCTAAAATATACCTGAATATAAAGACAAATTAATACAATTTGGAAATCACTTTAAATATAACTTTCTATCTTAACTTGTACATGAACGTTTTATAACGCACATCCGATTCTAATTTCTAACCCTCACTTTATTTCTAGTCTATGGATCAAAATTGGCATATCCTGTATCGTATCGTAATCGTCCCTCGTGGTTCGATCAAAAGGCAGAGGGGTTAAGGGATGTGGGACGAGGGCAGGGTGAGATTGTGCCAAAAATTCAGTATCCGCGCGACGCTCAGCAAGGGCGCTTGTGTTGTGTCGTGTTCCGTCCTTCGATTCGCGGTGAGTTGTTTTATGGGTAAAAATATTTATTTTGAAAATACTGTTTTTTTTTTTCAAATTAATTTATCATATCAAGATTTTTACGTAGCTTTTAAATTTGTCTGGACATCGCGAATATAATCTTTTTTTATTTGTTTATTATTTTTCATGTTTACCGATTAAAACATTATGTTTTAGAATTATATCAATTATGCAAGTATCTTGGTACCATCTTATCTAACGAACTTGGCAACAATTTATGCGCCGACAACTTGTTATATTTGTGATATTGAACTTGCTCATATTCTTACATTTATGTTGTATACCAAAGTAGGATAAAGGAAGAAGTAATAGTATTAAATCTAGTTAATATTTAAAAACAAAATCTTTACAGACGGCTCAGAAAACTCATTAGGCAACAGAATTTTCGGTTTTAATTAGCTATTACAAAATAACATATAAATAGCGTCTCGTAAATATTATGTTTTATATTTGTTTGACATTATAATTAATATCTTATTATATCTTAGTTATAAAAATAACATTATAATATTTAAATTATTTGCCTGTTTTGGCAAAGGAACGCACGCATTCCTTGTGTAGGAATAAACTGGTAGTAGCATCCAAAAATTTGTTGGTTCAAAGTGGATATATAGGTGAAGTTTAATGTTTTCTTATATTTCAATAAATTTTCATAAAAAACAATAATTACGGCGATTTAAAAAATAAAAAATCCATTTCACTTTAATATATTCTGAAGTATCAAGTCCATCAATTTAGTATTGTTTCTCAATTGATCGTAATAACTTTTGGCTACGACAAGTCTGATTAATTCAATAATATATTTAACTAAGGGTAAAATTAAAATATTAATAAAATATCTAACCTAGTACCAAAGACAAGTAAAGTAAACAGTGTTAATTGTCTTTGCTGGGCATGGCTAGTCCCGTGCTAGTGAATTTTCATTAATTATTTGACTTTCCTAAAACTGTTTATAATAAAGAAATTAACTTCTACATAATTGAACCAACGTGTTTTATGTATAAGCCCCTTCAAAAATAAATTAAATGGCAAATCGAAATACCCAATATAATGTGATGCAGACCTTTCATTTAAATTGTAAACGACCTTCATTAACATAGCGTTGATTCAGATGTAATCCTTGTTAATACCGTTCCGAGAGGTCCCGGGGGACAACAGCCCAAATCCCTCGCACCCGTTGACAATTTGACGTAATCTGTGCAGCTGTCAAAATTGACAGTTGCCTATTGTGCGGTGACAAGACAGCGCGCGGCAAAAGTTTAAAATTGTGGTTTATTTTTAACCGACTATAAACCGAAGGACTACTATTTGACGTGTAATTATATTTCTTAATTTGGATTACCATAAATTAACCAAATGGGATATTTATAACATGTATATAAAGAAACTAATTAACACTTTAAAGATTTAATTATCTGAGTAGTACAAAAAAGGAATGTTGCTACTAAATATTTTTGAGCCTTTTAAAGTCGGTTTAATAAAAAAAAAATATTGTTCGGATAATATAAAAATGTATGTAATTGTTAAAAAAAAATAGTGGGTTATGTGTGTTATGTATACACGGCGCATACTTCATATTTAGCTACATTAAATTAGTTCAATTTAAAATAGAATTAAGTTTAAAAAATAAAAAAATAAAAAATATCACAACATGTTTAAACTTAAATGGTACTAATATGTTCGGTATTTATGTTTTCATTTGTATGGACGAGGCATGTGAGGTAACATTTTACCAATATATCAAACTGGGATATTTCCGACAGCAACTTGTAGTTTTACTAGAAACTTCAACCCTGGGGATTCCACCCATACGAATCAAGACTACGAAAGTTAGTAGGTAACTTCTTAATCCTAAATAAAAGTATATTTAAAATTTATAAGTTACAAAAATATAGTACAAATGATTAGCAAAAAAAATGATTACATTTTTAAGAAAATTCACGCAATTTTTTTTTCCTAGATTTAAGTTTACAAAAAGGGGGCAACACAAACACGTCATGCATGTATATGTACAAGAATTATAATCTAGCCTATACAATAATTATGGCTAATAAGTAATATTATGTTGACTCAATTTTCTACAAAACTAGTGATTAGCTTAAACTATCAATGTTAATTATCAGTCTTAGTGTTCTATAATATTTTGACACTATGTTCGTTTGTCCGAGATAACGCACTTGCACTTATATTCACTACACTAGGTTTATTACCTCAAAAGGTTTAGTTCTCTTTAAGCGTCTTGTTCCTGCTGTATCAAGAAGTTGGGTGATGATGAAGATGGAAAATGTGAATTAAAATCAGAACTTTTAAATATGACTCAGAATTCCTAGTTCGTAATTTACGTAGTTATAATTTTATCTATGGTCAAGATAGATAGTTATATCTATGTCCCATTAGATCACTTTTGGCTTTGTTTTATTGGCTCTCCTTAAATGTCAGTGTTAATTGTTTAAAGACTTATAAAAAATTTCAATCGGTTCATTGTAGTTTGCGAGAGCTTAATGATAAGCCGTTAAGTAGGATTTTGCGAAACGTAAGTTAAGTGAGATTATCTAATTGGGGCTTCATACAATCCTGATATAACTTAAGTAACTTCAAAGGAATTTTAGGGCCGATGTAATCTTATGTCGGGATTTTTGATGTTTACCTAGGAGCTGACTTGACAGAACTTTTAATATGCATACAACATAGAGGGTTTTAGGTGAGCGTTCTGTCTATTGAAGTTGACGTTTTGCATGATTGGTTTTGGGTTGATAGGTATTGAATATGTGAACATCCGATGTTAGGAAACTGATATGAGCACAAGCGAAAATTAAAATCCTAGATTTAGAATAATGAAGGCGCCTTTATGATATAATGTTGCCAATTAACGTCCCCTTTTTGTAATAAATACAACATCAAAGTTGAAAGTTGAAACCTATTTTTTCTACAAAAATAGCTTTAACAAAAACCTAGATTTTTTAATTATATTTTTAGACGCCTAATGCCGTCCCAGGGACGAGATCACAACAATCAGTGCCTACGTCAACTTAATAATAATCATAATTAGGAAATCTAATCAGACTTCTATTAAACCAATTTTATTTCAAAACAGGTAGCATAAATAAAATTAACTCCTGGATTTTCAATACAAACCCCCCCCAAGCATCCATTGCCTACGTTTTCCATCCAATTCTCTCTCTCTCTGCTTTGTATCCCGATGGTTTTAATATGGACACGAAATAGCTATTTTGTGAATAACTCAGGCTGGATCCATCCCGAACGATGACGTGGTGCGGGGTGCCCATCTATAGTGAGTGGAGGTGCTCCGTCAATAAGTTCAGCTTATTGTTTTTTTTTCTGGAAAACACCATTAATGGAGGAATTGACCAGTCCCTAACATACAAGTCACAACTGTTATTGCTTGTGGCGGCGTCCATGCGTCGGGTTGTCTCTCTCCCTAAAATATGGCGAGGGGGCCGATGGCTGGCCATGCGTCGTACTCGTGAACGGGTGTTACTTGTGGTGACTGGTCGTACTTGAATTCGTGTATGCGGTGATGTTAATTATTTCGACTATGTGTTTGCGTGTTGTTCCCACGAGAATGTAAGTGCGTGCTCCTATTTCACCATGCCTCCTGCTGATAGAGGACAAGTCTTTGTTTTTAATTTATGTTATTATTATTAATTACTTAAGATGTCATGTGGAACATGGTGTAATGGTTGCAGCTCCTTACAATGTGTCAATGTGTCCAACGTTGTGTAAAAAAAACATGGTGATTAAAAAGAGTGGCAGAGAGTTTATTGCCAGTTCTTCTCTTCCGTTCTACGCCCTTGATTTGAGAACTGGCAGTAAATGTAAAATTAGAAGCATTAATATGTATTTCTTTAATGACGAATCACAAGTGTACATTGTGTTACCTACGTGAATAAATGATTTTTGAATTTTGAATTTTATTAACGCTCCCCTTTCAGCAGGTTCTCTTAGCTTTTCTTACCTTTCCTTAGGATTTGAAGCTGAACTATGCTTATTGCGTTTCGTCCACATTTAATATTTTATCGGGGTTGAAATTAATCTTTTGTTATTCAGGTCAAAAAAATCGGCATGTCAAAAAAATATTTCAGCGTTTTCAGCAGCCACGAGCTACGTTTCACTGTCAAACTTTTACAATGGCCGACTCACAAAACTAGATTTGAGGAATTAAAATTATATGGCGTAATTTAGAGAAATATCGACGGAGACGAAATTAAGCTCGGAGACGAAGTTTGGCGACCTTACGTTAATAACTATTGGTTTACGAAACAGAAAACACGTCTTTTAGGTTATTTCAGCAGTATCATCTGTATTTGTCACACAATTCACGTATAATTGTAATTTGGAATAGCTCCAATTTAGCAATTTGTATCTAATTTCATTTCGTTTCCTAAAGCGGGGTTACAAGTGAGGATTCGTCTACAAAGAGATTAGCTAAGCTGGGAAGCCTTTGCGAAGGTCGCGAGGCACGATTACACGGATTAGCTAAGCGTTGGTTATGTGATAAGTTTAAAACGATCTTGACTTTAAACCTAATGCTCAATGCCTGTTTAAATATAGAATGATTTACATCCAGTTCGTTGTGGGTAGCAAAATACTTAATTTCTTTAAAATTGTGTTACCAGCCAGCTAATATTAAAAAAAATACAGATAACACACCATAGACAACCAAAGGGGTCTATCAAACCTCACCTCAATGGGTGATCTACGCAGTGTTAGCATTGCAATTGGTACTTAGAAGCGTCATTATGGTTTTTAGCTTTTTGTTGCTGCTGGAAGGAATCTGTTACTGCTGGCATATGTGTGGTCAAATTAGCGCTTTATAGAGCTGCCAGCGGTACCTTTTCGCTTTGTTGATCACGTCTAAAGGCTTGGAGGCTTTTAATTTCCTCTGCTATGTGGTGGCGTCTTTTTCTCCTTTCCTAAAATTGACGATATGTATGAGACATCAAGACATCTGACGTCCCTATTTTAAATAAGTTCAACTGGATTATTATTATTATTACTTTTGTTTATTATAAAATAGATCTGTAATAAAGTAGATAACAATAAAATATATACTAATTTATTTATTAACACTTCGTTGATAGTATACAGAAATACAGACAATTAAAATAATTTAATAAAAAGGAGGGCAACTGGCGGCCTTATCGCTTTTGAGCGATCTCTTCCAGGCACTATATCTATCTAGATTCTAATGTCACATCTATCACAAGTGTCCAGTCTTGCCACATGTGTTTTTCTTATTTCGTACAATTTCCTTTGCATTGTAACTATTGCAAATAAATTTTGTCTTGTATCTTCTTATTTATCAGTAAAATTAACGGCGTACCATCTACTGCACCTTTATTGCACTTGTTACAACTTTAGTGAGCCCATAAACAAGCTTTGTTACCTCTAAGATGCGATCAAATCTCTTTTGTGTTTGTTTTAAAATAAAACATAATATCTAAGTCGAATATATTATTATAAATAGTATAGTATAAACAATTTCTTTTGAAAACTAAAACAAAAATAGTTACTCGCTTAAGGCTACTAGACACGGGCCTTCAGCCGAAATAAGTCATAAACGGGATTCACAATATTTTACTGTCCCTAATAAATACGTAGCCACGTCTTCGTTACTAGTAATAGAAGGATTAATCGTATTATTTATTTATTGTATACATAATTTGAAATAAAAAAAGGTTAGATCAGTGTGGTGGAAACACAAACTGAACACAGTTTTTCTGACCACTAGGACGTCGATCAGATTTAAAAAATTAACTTATACACTTAGGCCAATGACACACACGTCATACCATTATAGTCATTAAATAACGCGATACCTTGAAACATCGACGCTCCATAGATAGCCGATGCAAAAAACCTGTTTTGATGAAGATGATGTCTAATTAGTATAATTTATAATTGTTTGATGTATGTAATAATTTTTTAATTTAAATTTCTTGTTATATCAGTAAGAAGCTGCAGCTGGTAGCGAGTTTATTAAATTTGTAAAGAGTCTAATGTTTTTTTTCCCCATATAGATTATTGTATTTATGTAATAGTAATTATTTTTTTTAATTTTATACGTGTTGAAAAGTGATAGTGAGTTTGAATTGTTTTAAGGCAATTTAACTCGTTAACTATATTATATCGGGTAAATTGTCACTTATAATTATAATGAACTAATTAAACAAAAATGGATTATCCTATTACCAAATATATCTTTTTCAGATGCAGCGGCCGTGCAGATGAGCCGGTATCTCCGTCCTGCTCGCACACATCCCTTCCCCCTGCACGATGCCGCGCCGGCACCCCCGCACTCTCTACTCTCTTCTACTTATCGGTAAGTAAGACTTTAAGATAATATTGGCTAATAGTCATATCAGTTGTGTAAAGATAAAAAATTGTCCATTGCCTTTTTAGTATTATTATTTAATGCTAGTAATATTAACGGCGGTAGATGGTAGATGGATACAGTAATAATATGTTTAAAGAACTAAGTGCGCATAAGGCGGAAAGCTATTAACTTTGTATAATAATATAGAACTATAACGACATTAGACTTCTAAAGTATCAATAAATGGAAATTGGAATATTTACCATAAGACATTTCAATCCTTACTATTTTGAACCTTAAAGTCAAAAGCATCGATGCAATATTACCCTTTAAAAACATAAAAAAGACGCTGTCATTAGCAGCTTAAAGCAAGTTGTGGTAGAAAGCTTGGAAGCCCGCAGGACATTGCTTTGTCGGGAGCTTTTTTAGTTATAGTAACGGCTTTATGGTAAGCCTCAATAGAGCTTGAAAAGATCTTTAGATAGGCGAGCCTCTGGCGGTCGCTTTGGAAATCTAGGGACTGCACACTTAGCTCAGAGCCTGGAGTGGGTCGAGTTCCAGATATCAAAATTGTTTAATGGATACGTTTATAAGCTTCTAAAAAACTTGGTATGACCTATTTCTTTAATGAAAGATTACCGTTACCGCCTCTAGTATTTTGCGAAAACCGATTGCATTATCTCAATAAATGTTGCCGTCCAGATTTAGATCAAACATCTATGTTTAAAGATGGTTATTCCACCTCAGACATTTCCTCTCAATTGTATGCCCTTTGAGCAAAATAAAGGTAGATATCTCAAAGGCAATCTACCATTAGTTAGTAAAATAGAAAGCACGTCCCGGGATGTTTTTCGTGCATTAATGTCTAATAATATGGTCTACATTATCACAAAGATATAAATTTAATATCTACCTTTAGCAATAATTTAGTCAGAACTAATTTCTATAATTTTTCTTAGAGAAAAGTTTAACTGTTTCTTCGCCGTTCTACAAAAAATACGTAGAATAAAACTTTTTTGTCCTGAATAAATTATAGCGACTATTTTCCGTAATATTTCACAAATATTATGCCCGGCCGAACGGAAGGACTTCGCTCATACGTATAATTCGAATGTAATATATTGGCAAAATATGTAACATCGGCAATTCAATTATTATGGTTTTCAGTGGGTATTTAGATGCCGATTTTCTAGTTTATAGGATGATGTCATCAAAATGTTTCTGTTCCTACTGGATTAATTATAAATTCAATTCAGAGACATTGATAAATACTACTGATAGTAAAAATATAATAAATAATTATAGCTACTTGATAACATAAGATTAAATCGCTGTCCTAGTGCGAGGTTGCCGGATGTCTTGGAATGAGTTTAGATTCCTATTCACTCAAAAAATATTAATGAAACAGACACAGGAGTCGGAGATAAACGTTGACTATTGATAGGTTACGGGAGGTTTATATACCTAAAAGAGATCTATTACATAACGATTATATATAAAACTCAATTTAAATACTGTATTTTCAAAAGAATCATCTAAAACGCATTATATATTGTACAATTTTAAATTGTACTAATGTGTAGTTGTGTATTGGTCAAATGCTATTAGAAAATTTATTATGAATTTAAAAGTTAGGTAACTTAGTCCTACTGTTTTAAAGTTTAAGTGTTAAACTATTAATTTAATTTAAAAAATCGAACTACTACTTACAAATAGAAAAAAGTAGTCTATACAATATATATCAAAGTATTTAGAAATATTAACAATCCAGTTGCGCTACAACCCTCAATGTGTGTTGGCTTTAGATTGCATCCGTCTCTTCTGATCATTTTTATTTCATAGACAAGTAGATCACCACCCTTCCGTCTGACACATGTCAGTTTCAAGATTTGAGACATGCCGGTTTCCTTACAATGTTTTTCTTCGCCGCACTAGAGAGTATTAGGTGCACATAGACGAAAAGTTCATTGAAGCACGGCCGGGAATCGATCTTTTGACCTCGGGGATGAGATTCGCACGCTAAAGCCGACGCTCTACTGCTCAAAGTATAGAAAGCAATTAATCTTCATCAATACAAATTTCTCACGTCGCACGAATATAACAGTATATATTTGTATATCTGTTGAGGGGAAGGAAGGGTGTCAGCAAACAAGAGAAACAAACATCGATTTGATTGGAATGAGTATTAATATTCAGTTCTGATATTACGAGTTTACGAATCAGTTCTGATATTGTATTTGCTGTATGAACAGAGGAAATCATAATAGTATTTAAATTAAACTTAATGTCGCCTCCTATTTCGATTATCATATATAAAACTTTACAAGATAGAAAACGCTTCTGGCTACAACTATTTTCAAATCAAGGAAAATTTGTATGTTTATGTATTTTGTTTAAAACGTGCTTAAAGAATATTAATTATATTAATATTTAGCAAGGGGGTTGACATAACTAAACACTTATGCTTCTAAAAGTAGCTTAAAACTTTTTTGTTAAAATTTGCCTTATGGTTGGTTATAAACAACTATTATAAAAGCAATACTGCACTGTTAACTACGCTGTCAACCCATGACCATTCTGTTAAGTACGCAAAACGTGGTAAAGGAACGCATGATGTTTCTTAAATTCCAGCGCTAGTTTTAAGACGTGTGTAGAACAGTGCATAAAAGCTTTAAATGATGAAGAATAAATATCTCATATTCAAACATTGCAATTATGAAGAGTCGGAAGACTTGTTTGTATAAACCTAACTACTTCGGGAAGAGTAAACCCTTCAACGATTCCAAAAAGCTCGAACGAAGTTAGACGTATTTAGAGTTCGTAAATTTTATAACCATCTATTATAGTCTATCTAGATTCTTGCATTGTACAAATTTTAATACATTCATGGCAAATTTATATAGAATTGAATATAAAAATCTGTTAAACAAATTATATTTTAAGTACATTATTAATATGAATGACGGGAAAGGCTAAGAAGCTTGGTGTGCTCAGCAAGGCGAGACGGTACTTCACCCCGGGCCATCGCTTGCAACTCTATAAAGCGCAAATTCGGCCCCACATGGAGTACTGTTCTCACCTCTGGGCAGGAGCTCACGAGTACCAGCTCCTTCCGCTTAACCGTAATCAACGAAGTGCGATTCGAATCGTCGACGACCAGTCACTTTCCGAGCGGCATGATCCCTTGGCGTTGCGTACAGATGTGGGATCCCTCTGCATCTTCTACCGCATTTACCATGGAGAGTGTTCAGAGGCGTAATTCGGACTAATGCCTGCAGCTGAGTTTCTTCATCGGACTTCAAGGCAGAACACAAAATACCATCCGTAGCACCTCGACGTCCGTCGTTCCACAACTGAGCATTTTTTAAGGAAATTTCTGCCTTTTCTATTCAAACGTAAAAACTGACGAAATTCTCAATAAGGAAAAGTCAAACCTAATCATAATATTACCGATGAAATCCCAAAGGAGTATTGAAATTCAAACAATGTTACAATCAGAATATAAGCCCCTACTCAGCACGGCCACATAAGCTTTACGCACGTTGAGAGCTCCTTAGGGAATTGAGGGTATAGACAAGTAACATTTTGTAGAAGTGGAGCCAAAATTGGTTTACATAAGCTGTGATTGTTTTTATGATGGAAATTCCATTAAATACTCATGTTATTTTATGTAGGAAAGTGTGCTTAAAAGTCGGCGTTTCGAATTGATTGTCGAATAATTCAAGAAATATAAATCTAATATATAAAATTCTCGTGTCACAGTTTTCGTTGCCATACTCCTCCAAAACGGCTCGACCGATTCTCATGAAACTTTGTGTGCATATTGGGTATGTCAGAGAATCGGACAACATCTATTTTTCATCCCCCTAAATGTTAAGGGTAGTCCACCCCTAATTTATTTTTTATTTTTAGATTTTTTTTTCTGTTTTTATGATACAGCATTAAAAAATACATACAAACCCCTAACTTTCACCCCTCCACGATCAACCCCTATTTTTTTATTATAAATGATATATATATGGCAAAACGACGTTTGCCCGGTCAGCTAGTAATCTGTAAAACTCTATACGATTACATAATAATAGGCTTAAGCATTTGAACAATATTTTATGGTTATATAATTTTTAATGTTGGCTCTCATATATGAATAAATTAATTTTAATTTGATTTGAAGATACCTATTACATAATATATTATTATGTTGAACTGGGAATAGTAAAGTGACTTGCTTAAAAGTTGGCATGGATTACCAATTAGAGAAATAAAAAACATTAATTATATATATTATAATTGTATATCTATTGACATGCAACACAGCATGCTTTATACCTAATAACTAACAGAATTCATAAAAACTATAAACATGTGATTTAAAAAGCGAGAGATATAAATGAAAACCTATTGAAAAGTTTTGGAAAGAGGTGAAGTCAAATTCAGGGGAAAATTTATAAGCTACTTTACACTTTCTAAGAATAGCAGTGTTAGAACCTAGAATTGTTCTACGAAAGGGTATTAAACCTTTAATTACTAACGGGATACCGGTAGGCAAGGAAAATAGTATATTTTTGAAAGCAAAAGGCTTGATAAATTGTATATACGAGTATAATGTCCATAAGGACTAAATGGACAAGATTTTAAAGTAATCAACATTTCTTGATAAGACCCGCCGAACAATATAGATGAAAAAACCCCGAAATACGCCAACTTTTCTGTATTCCCTAGTCTTAACTTATGTGCAGAATAGTGCGTACCACGCCACACTGCAACACTGGATATGACTACGGAGTCCGGACCAAAGTATTTTAAGCGCTATTGTAAGCTATTGTACCGCTATTTTAAGCGCTATTTTTGTTGTACAATTCTAATATTATTTCTGTTGAAATAAAAGTGAAATGGATAGTTTTACTCTGCAACTGGGTTAGATTTTCGATAATTCAGATTTTACTATCTGAATATAAACTTTACGGTTGTTCTGAAGTATTTAACGAAAGTATGGTCTTCTTTGCAACA